ACTGAGAGATAAAATATATGAGAGAAATGTTAAGTGAAAAGGTAGACAAATATCTACGAAACAGAATAGAGTGTGCAGAAAGTGACCCACATATTTATGGCAACTTGATTTTCAATAAGGGGAAAAGAAAATTCAGTGGAAAAAGTATAGTCTTTTCAACAAATATTACAAGAACATTTGGATATTCATATGATAAAATGGACTTTAAACCTTAGACCATATATAAAAATTGTCAAGATGAATCATAAACTTAAGTGTAAAACTAAAAATTTTAAACTTCTAAAAGCACAAAATAAGATATAATCTCTGTGACTTTGATTTAGGCAGATTTCATGGAAACTAAATCAAAAGCACAGTCCATAAAATAAAAATTGATAAATTGAACTTTATCAAAATTACAAGTTTTCTTTCTCAAATACTGTTAAGACAATGCAAAAACAAGTCATCACCTGGGATAAATATATTAAAATCACATATTTAATAAAGGACTTTAGACTATATTAAGAATTTTTAAAACTTGTTCATAAGAAAACCAACAACTAATTTTTTTAATTAAAAAAAGATTTGAGGGCTTCCCTGGTGGTGCAGTGGTTGAGAGTCTGCCTGCCGATGCAGGGGACACGGGTTCGTGCCCCGGTCTGGGAAGATCCCACATGTCGCGGAGCGGCTGGGCCCGTGAGCCGTGGCCGCTGAGCATGCTGCGTCCGCAGCCTGTGCTCTGCAACGGGAGAAGCCACAACAGTGAGAGGCCCGCGTACCGCAAAAAAAACCAAAAACAAAACAAACAAACAAACAAAAAAATTGTTGAAGTAGCAGGAATGACATTGCTTTAAAAACTGATGAAAGAAAAAGCATTTGAGATGGTTGTCAGTTGGTTTTCTTATTAATTTGTAGGCATTCTTTATATATTTGGGATGTAAATCTTTTGCTGGATATACAAGTACATTCTCCCACTCTGTGGCAGGCCTCTTTACTCCTTTAATGGGATTTTTTAAATGAGAAGATCTTAATTTTAATGTAGCCCAATTTATCAATTTTATCCCTCTACATTTGTTTGTGTCTTGTTTAAGAAATGTTTGCCTAACTCAAGGTCATCAGGGTATTCTCTTATGTTTTTCTAAAGATGTTTTACTGTTTTACATTTCACAATTAGATTTACAACTTACAATTAGATTTATAATTCATCAGTGTTGTATGCAATATGTGATTTGAATCAAGATTCCTTTCCCTCCATTGTAGTAGCTAAATGATCCATTATTATTTATTGAAAAGACAATTATCTCCCTTGCAGTGTAATCTTTGTCACAAATCAGTGGCCAAGTTTGGGTCTATTTCTAGACTGCACTGTTCGGTTGGTATATTTGCCTGTCCTATATCATTATCATCCTAACTAAACTGTTGTGTCTTTATAAAGTTTCTTGGTACCTGGTATATTTAAGTCCTCTCTATTTGTCCTTTCCAAGAGTATATTAGCTGTTTTGACAGTTTGCATGCCCTTATATGCTTTAGAATTGTCTTATCAAGTTTCCCTGCCCAATTACGGAATTTTGATTAGAATTTTAAGATCATAGATTATTTTGAGGAGATTTGATATTTTTACAATATTGAGTTGTTTAGTCTATAAATGGACTGTCTTTCCATTTATGTAAATTTTCTTTAATTCTCCAATAATATTTTGTATTTTGTGCCTTGAGATTTTGCATGTTTTTAAAGATATGTTTCTAGGTATTTCATTGTTTGATGCTATTATAAAGGTAATCTTTTGAAAATTTAATATTCTAACTATTCTAGTTGATGATGGCATATAGAAATATAAGTAATCTTTGAATATTGACCTTTGATACAGCAAGTGTATTAAAATAACCTATTATCTCTAGTAATACAGCTGTAGATTTCTTTTTTCTTTTTTGGGGGTGGGGGGGCTTTACACAGTGAACGTTTATTTCTCACTCATGTTATAGTCTCGTGGGCTGCAGCAATGGCTTAGAGATCCAGGGTCTTCAACATGAGGCTTGCACGTTCACCGAGGGCATTCTAGTCTTGTTTCAGTCTCAGACAGAAATCTAGCACCATTTCACCATTAAACACATTGTTAGATGCAACATACAATGAGACTTTTGTTTGTAAATGCGCTTTATCAAACAAATTGCCTTCTGGTTTATTAATAACATTATCATGAGAGATACTGAATTTTATTAAATGAATTTTCTTCATCTATTAAAATAGTCTTCTTATTTTTTCCTTTGTTCTGTTAGTATGGTGAAGTACACTGATTCTTCTAATGTTAAATCAATGCTACTTTCATGCAATAGCTCCAATTTTGTCAGATATGTAATAAGTTTTATATATGGTTTATTTGATTTGCTAATGTTTTGTTTAGAATTTTTATAGCCATGTTCATGAATGAGATTGACCTGTAATAAATCTTTCTCTTAATATTCTTGTCTGCTTTTGTTATAAAATTCATACTGATTTTTTCATAAAATGAGTCATTTTCATATATGTGTGGATTTTCTAGTTATTATCCCTCTGGATTTTACCTCTCTTATATTTTGACTGAGTAAGTCTTGTCATCTTTTTTCTCTCTCTAGTATCACGAAACAGATGTTTTCATATATTGTTTCAACTTTCAGATTTCCTCAGTGATAAGGGTTAGTTTGAATATCTTACTATGTGATTCCCAGAATCTTCTTCATTTGCTTTTCATCACAGAAAACCCTGGACTCTTTACATGGAAACTGTCACCTCTGGTTCTTACCTTAGAAGGAATTATGGACCTTTTTTTATCTTCCAGTAAATCTTCCAATAAATCAGGTCTTTAGTCATTACTCCAGGATGTCCTTATTTATCAGAGCCTTCATCTTTCTGGAGCTGATGCCTCAGGCTAGTAAATAATTTAACATGCGCTAGATGTCTGTCCTGTGCAAGGTACTGTGAAAAGCAAGGTGCTGTTGGTACCAAAATAAATATGAGATTTCCCCAGATTTCAAGGAGCTCACTCCGAAAGAGGATATTAAATTATAATATCAGCATAGCATGATAGGCAGAAAGGTGAAAGTAATTAAGGAGTACCAAAGAGACAAAGAGGAAGAGGACAAAACTGAGACTTGAGGAGCTAGGAAAAGATTATGATAAAAGATGATCCTGAAATGAGTAAGAGAGAATGAGAAGGAATTTGATAAAAGGGGAGGCAGAGGGATCAAAGCAGAATGAGCATCTTGTTACCGTCCAGTGTTCATAAACCCAGGAAACGTGGCACATTTTGACTGAATCAAAGCGTTTGGGTGGGGGAATGGGGGGCATTGAACTGATTAAGCTGGTTACTTCAAATGTGATCCTTTCTGAGGCTCCAATATTTTTAGTAAAATACTAAGATGATAGGAAGAAAAAGCCACCAGTAAAAAGAGCAGCACTTCCCATCTTCTAGGGCAGTGTTGACCTCCGGTTGAGAATGGGTTGTGCTGCAGGGCCTAGAGGCAGGAACTCATTTGCCCTCTTTGTGACTCGGATTCCTGCCCTATTACCTGGCATACAGTGAGAGACAGTGAAGTTGCAACAATGGGAAAACAAGGAGCTTGCCTAGTAAGATACTGCTTGTTTTTTAGGCTTTCATCCCAGGTGTGGCTTCTCAGACGCTGTTCTTCTGCCTTGTAAAAATAAAGGGGGTGCCTTCTGATCCTGAGGAAGAGGAGTAACCTTGTTGTATCTTGTGGCTACCAACCTCAAGGACCCCACCCTCCCCTCTTTCAGAGAGTTTTATTTATCTATAATGTACTTAATGATTTTGGCTTGAGCATACTCTGATATTTAAATAAAGGGACTTTGCCACAAAATGCCCCAAGACATTTCAGTCTGTGTACAATATGGGACTGGCAGGCAAAATCCTTGAAAGGATTACACTTCTCATCCTCCATCTTGAAGAGACTGTGATATTTATCCACATTCCCTTACCCACTACTGATTGAAAAACTGTTCCATTTGAAGCCAGGTTTTATGTTTCTTGCTTATGGATTTTACATGCAAATGTCATTTTACCCGTCTTGGACCACATATTTCTTGATTACTTGTATTAGCATGAGTGTAGAGATGGAGGAGAGTGAAAATATTTTGGTTTCTAATTAATCTCACTATTGGAAGGTAAACATTTTCATGTATAGCCTATGTATAACTATTTAATTATTACTGAGTACGGCCTGCATAGAGGGTTTTATTGATCCAGGCATCATAGAGGCAAGACTTTCTGAGAAAGGCTACCTTGGTGGTAAACAGAAGTGATGTTGAGGTCTGAGAAAGAAAGTAGAAAATTTCAGGAGCTCCTGAATGGAAATTTCCCAATTCCCCATTCCCGACAAATCTGGAAAGGAGGTAAACCCTTATACAACGTAAGATTTTTCTCTCCTGGCATCAGCGATGTCTCTGCCTTCTCTGTCAGCTGATCTAAGCCAGGTAGTTGCAAAATGTATGTGTAGAGAAAATGACAGTAGGTGTGGGAATGGATGCAATGGAGGTGATCGTGGAAGTACAAGGACATTATGAACCTTTCTTCTGCTAGTCATTCTGGAAAAATAATAAACATATCATGTTAAAAAGCCACGGTGTCTTCTCCAAAAAGACTCACAAGGGATGTTGAGAAATCGTTCCCTTGCTTCTGGGGTGAGCAGCAACTGGAAATCAGGGATATGATGAGATAAGTTAAAATTCCATGCACAATTATTTGTATCTTCATTTCCTGCTAGTCCTGGATTTCTCTGTATGCTCTAGTGATACCATATATAGTTACACAAAAAAATCAACACTCTTCAGGTTTCTGTTTCTTTTCTAATTGTTTTGGATCCGCTCTGCTCACCTGATCACAGATCTACTACTCCTCTTCTAAAACTGAGCTGACTACAGTGCATTGCCTCTCCCATGAGATCTTCCATATTTTCTATTTTGCCCTCCACCCCAGCCTGAATTAAAACTTCCTAAGATTGATTTTAGTTTTAGATTTACATGGAATATTCTATCTACCTCATTTGTAGTTTTCAGTACATTGTATTATAACTGTCTGCTTCCATCTCTGGGTAACCTACAGTCAGAAATATTTTAGGGCAAGAACTATATTTTAACCTCTACATCCCTGGCACAAGCACAATACATGGTACGTATTAGGTGCTTATTAAATGGTTTGTGAACAAAACATACCTGAATACCAATCCTAAAGAGTGGCAATTCTATTGAGTCAACACGACCTGGGTTGATGAGCTAAGAGGATGCAGGACTTACTAGTCCCCTTATTGATGCGTACATGCCTTCATTCATAATTCTAAGAACACATTCTTAGTAAATACATAATGATGTAAGAGGTAGAATTACAGGATGTCCAAGAAAGGCCCAATTCCATCACTGGTCTCACTATGTTAATTTCTGCATATGGTGACATTCAAGGCTGGGGTCTTTTTGTGGATACAGAGCAATAGAGTCTTCATATAGATCACCTGTCTGAGCTAAATAATATAAGCAGACTAGGAGATATCATTGCTCATAAAATAGCGAAAAATCTACATGAGCGCCGGGAAATATTAACAAGACAAATAAACCTGAGGATTCTTAGCAGAAAAAAATCCAGAGATCAGATGGACAGACCACCTAAATAAGACACTGGGAGTAATAATTACCCATTAAACTACAGGGACCAAACAGCTGCATATTTCGGCTTAAATGTCATTTAAAAAGCAGTGAAGATTAGCAAATACAGTGAAGATTAGCAAATACATCCTCAAAAGGTAAATCCCTACAAATACCATGCTAAGAAGGCAACCATGGTAGTTTACTACATAGCTGGGTTTCTAAAAATTATAGTTCTCAGATAAAATTAAAAATACCAACAGTAAAAGAAAAAAACATTGAGGAAAACAGACATATACATAAAACGACATGAAAAGTCACAGATGCATGCCAGAGTTATCCGTGGCCCGCCTAGTGGCCGGTATGGTTGCAGACATACAGGGCTTGCAGTAAACAGCTCCTCTGGGGCAACCTGTTTGACAGGGATCTGTCCATGATTAGAGAAGCTGTGGTATCAGATAGAGACAGTGCTGTCCTGGGCAGAAGGAGCAAAAGCAAGAGCTGTGGGTAAATAAAAGTATAAAGGGCTTTGCAGGTGGGAGGTCGGGGCTGGCTAATTGCGGCTACCCACTAAAGCAGGAGCAATGGGGGCTGGGCCGTCTTGCGTTGAAGGGCATGGGTCAATAGATTTCAAGAAGTAGGTGTGTTCCTTGGCGACAGCCCACAGGTGGCTGTGAGGGTGACTCCGGAAGGGTTTTCCTGGCTGAGTTCAGCTGCTGACTTGCTGCAAGGGCCAATTTGCAGGGCTGGGCGCCAGGGGGTGGTGGCGGCCTTCATGACGGGGCAAAAGCAACAGAGCACTTCCTTCGAGCCGGAATCGAACCAGCGACCTAAGGATGTCCACGTGCGTCAGGCCTACAGTCCTCCGCTCTACCAGCTGAGCTATCGAAGGGTGCACAGTGGCAAGTGCTGGGTCCTTCGTTTTTCCTGGAAACGACAGAGGCCAAGGCTCTGGAAGGCCCCGGGTGCAATATGCCCTAGGTTAGTTGGAAGCCCCTTGGCAGGGAGCCGTGCACACGCCGGGGATCCGTGGTGGCCAGGCATCCCGGGGAGGCGATTTTCAGAACGCCTGGGCCCGGGCCGCCACCTGTTGACTCATTTTCTCTCCCCTGGGCTCTTTCTACAGGGAGACACCAGGACGACAGCCCTCGGTGGCCAGAAAGCCAGTAAGAGGGTGAAGGGAGGGGGGGCGTTGGTGAAACCCAAACGGATGAGTGGGTCGGGTGGGGGCGGGCTTGCGGAGGGAAGCAGGAGAGAAGAATGCACCACCAGGCAGGCAGGGTCGCTGAAGGGCCCTCGAGGAGTTTCTGAGCTCGCCCCCCCGCCCCACCCAATCACATACACGCCCCCTGGTGCTGGGGCGTCATCATCCGCGCATTTAACCTCGACCCGACCCTGTTGCCCGCCTGGAGCTGGGCTCGTTTTTCTGCGCAGTGAGACTTCCTGGAAGTGAGGGAGAAAGGATGTCCCCATAGGTACCCAGCCGTCTGGCCCGCTGCGACCCGTCTAGGGACGTGGCTCGCGTTCTCTGCCCACAGACCCGGATTCCTCTGGCAGAGGCGGGTGCTCCCTGAAGCAGCTCAAGATTCTGTGGGCTTCCTGGACAGGCAGAGCACACCGTTGTCCAGGTCGGACCTCGCGCCCTCGCTCCTCGTCTTTGACAAACGTTTCAGATCCCATCTGGTGCATGCCCACCACCTGACACCACTCGCTCACCCACCCAGCTCAGGTCGCACAGAAGTACGGCAAGCCACACCCAAGTCACCTGCCCTCCGATGCCTGTGTCGCCACCCCTGATCGGGAGACCAGCAGGTCTGCACCTGCGAGGATGAGGGCCATGTCTGCGGAGGTCCCCTACTGCCCGCTGTGAGGCCCCAGACAGGAGGAGGTGGCCGTGCCGGGGCTCACCGGGGTGTGTCCAAGTCTCCAGAGTCCACCTCCCAGCCACAGGCACATCCTCCACCCCTGTTACATCCCCCAAACACCAAACCTAGTTCCTCCAAACCTGGGAAACTTCTGTCCCTCTCTCAAGGATGAGGGCGAGAGAGAGAGAGAGAGAGAGAGAGAGAGAGAGAGAGAGAGAGACGAAGTTGGAGAGAGAGATGGATGGAGATACACAGAGACTGCAGTTGTTGGGCTAGACAGAAGAGAGAGGCCATGGACCATCGTAGGACTAGGCAAAGTAGGAAAGGGAAATTGAGTGGGAGGGTTTTCAAGAAGAATGCCTTGGTTGTCCGTGACGCATGTGATGGCCCGTGTGCTTGTTGGGCTCCAGGGCTCGCGGTGGGCAGCTCCTGTATGGCCACATGTTTGTCGGATCTGTCCACGTTGAGCAAAGTGGTGGTGGCAGAGGGAGCGCTGCTCTCCCTGAGGAGAGGTGCGAGAATAAAAGTGTTAAGGGCTTGGGAGGCTGACGGGCTGGCTGGTGGGGGCAGTCTGCTAAGGCAGGAGCAAGGGGATGTTGTGGACTGAGGGGCATATGTCTGTGGACTTCAGGAAGAAGGGGTAAGTGGTTCTGGAAGGGCTTTGTTGGCTTTGTCCGGTGAGAATGAGGATGCTCTTGTAGTGCAAGGGGAAGGGCCAATTTGCAGGGCAGAAGCAGAGGGCGTGGCCCTCATGATGGGGCAAAAACGATTAAAGCACTTCCTTCGAGCCGGAATCGAACCAGCGACCTAAGGATGTCTACATGTCATCAAGTCTACAGTCCTCCGCTCTACCAGCTGAGCTATCGAAGGGTGCACACCCATGTTTCCACTGACAAGCACTGGATCCTTTCTTTTTGCAGGAATGGTGGAGACCAAGGAACTGGAGCCTCACCGTTCCTCAAAGAGGAGCACCGCCTCTAAGTGCCTCCCCCCATGCCCTCCATCCACCCCAAATCCCGCTCCCAGTTCTGTACCTCCCTCAGCTCGCCACTCACTCCAGACAGGGGCCGTGGTGCCCACCTAAACCTAGTTTTACTTTTCCGTGCAGTGAGGGCACCTGGGAAGTGATGGAGAAAGGACGTCGGGCTAGGCCTGTCTGGGGACTTGGCTCGCGTTCTCTGCCCACAGACCCGGATTCCTCCGGCAGAGGCGGGTGCTCCCTGAAGCAGCTCAAGATTCTGTGGGCTTCCTGGACAGGCAGAGCACACCGTTGTCCAGGTCGGACCTCTCGCCCTCACTCCGCGTCTTTGACAAACGTTTCAGATCCCATCTGGTGCGTGCCCGCCACCTGACACCACTCGCTCACCCACCCAGCTCAGGTCGCACAGAAGTACGGCAAGCCACACCCAAGTCACCTGCCCTCCGATGCCTGTGTCGCCACCCCTGATCGGGAGACCAGCAGGTCTGCACCTGCGAGGATGAGGGCCATGTCTGCGGAGGTCCCCTACTGCCCGCTGTGAGGCCCCAGACAGGAGGAGGTGGCCGTGCCGGGGCTCACCGGGGTGTGTCCAAGTCTCCAGAGTCCACCTCCCAGCCACAGGCACATCCTCCACCCCTGTTATATCCCCCAAACACCAAAGCTAGTTCCCCCAAACCTGGGAACCTCCAATTTCCATGGCGGGTGGAGGGCATGGGCACATCCAATGGAAGCCTTAGAAGCTCTCTTTGGTCCCTGTCCACTGGTCTCTGCAGATGGTGACATTCGAGGCTGGGGAATCTTAGTGGCCACAGAGCAGTAGGTTCCTCCTGAAGGGCTCCTGTGGGAAAGCAGTGGCACTGCCCCCTGGACCCTGGAAACTCCACAGCCCCAGGCTCAGCTCCTCTTGGTCAGCAGTGGGGCAGCAGGGAAGATTGCTGCTGCAGAGGAGACCTGGAGATGAAGATATGCGGGAAACGCAGTCTGGATGCAGAGGCAGAACCCGAACCAAAAAAGGAGCTCGTGGCCGCAAGGGTCAGGGGAGGGCAGGGGCTGGGCCCCAGGGCCTGCAGAGAGCCACGCTCCCATCACCGTTCCTCTGACAGTGCTTTCCAACTGTATCTCCAGCCTTCGGGAGTTTCCCTCCCACAGGAGAGAAAAGGGCAAGGGCCACTCCTTGGCTTTCCTCTCTGCACCCACATGCCCTGACAACCCTCCCCCAACCAGCAGCATCCCTGAAACCCGGCTCAGTGGCGGTGGAGGGAGGAGGGTGTGGAAGGCTGCAGCCTCAGCGGCCCAGCACTTAATTCAGCCAGCTGGTCAGAAGGCACGGGCCAGTGGCCTGTGTCAGGAGGACAGTTGTTGTGCCCCTCCAGGATCACACATCCGGCCACCAAGCCCCAGTCCCGGGCCCTTTCTGCTCCCTGCCTGCAGCCACCGTTATCTGCCCCCCACCCCCGGCCTTTTCCTACTCTCAGGTCTCTTTCTCAGGTCTCAGCCTTTCCTTTTGCTCACAAACTCCCTTCCTCTCCCCATCTCCCCCTCTCCCTTGCAGTCGCTCTCCCTCGGTCTCTCTCTGTCTCTATCTTTATCTCAGTCTCTATTTCTCTGTCTCTCCATCAGAAGTAGCAGGGGAATTGGTACAGGGGTTTTTCCCACAATTGTACAGAGTGTGAGCAATCGTTGCTCTTGCAGAAGGAACTCAAACCTTCCTACGGCAGCAAGAACAGGTGTGAAATTTCGAGGAACTGGAAGTTTTCCTGTGGCCTCGGCCTTGTTCTCTGACTGACAGGAGACCTGAATGGGGCCTCTGAAGTTTTCATTGTGACGTCAAGCCTCCTCCCCTGTCCTGAGAGCCCTGGTGTCTTTTGCTCCTGCCAATGCCAGAGGCTCTTGGCGCAGGCGCACAATTGGCAATGGCTTGGCAAATCTTAGGGTGGCAGTCCTGTCCCACAGTACATAAAGCAAATGGTGAAGGGTTTCTGTCTCCCTAAGTTTATATATTTATGATCATTCAAGAGAGACACAGAAAGAGAGAATGAGTTCGAGAATGAGGGAGAGAGAGAGAGACAGTTGGAGAGAGGGATGGACAGAGATACACAGAGACTGCGGTTGGGCTAGACAGAAGAGAGAGGCCATGGACTAACGTAGGACTAGGCAGAGTAGGAAAGGGAAATTGAGTGGGAGCGTTTTCAAGAAGAATGCCTTGGTTGTCCGTGACGCATGTGATGGCCCGTGTGCTGGTCGGCCTCCAGGGCTCGCGGTGGGCAGCTCCTGTGTGGCCACATGTTTGTCGGATCTGTCCACGTTGAGCAAAGTGGTGGTGGCAGAGGGAGCGCTGCTCTCCCTGGGGAGAGGTGCGAGAATAAAAGTGTTAAGGGCTTGGGAGGTTGAAGGGGCTGGTTGGTGGGGGCAGTCTGCTAAGGGTGTCTTTGGTTGAGAAGCATGTGTCTCTGGATTTTAGGAAAGGGACAAGTGGCTCCAGGAGGGCTTTGTCGGCTTTCTCCTGTGAGAATGAGGATGCTCTTGTAGTGCAAGGGGAAGGGCCAATTTGCAGGGTAGAGGCAAGGCTGCACTAGGCAGTGGTGGGCTTCATGATGGGGCAAAAGCATCATGGGCACATCCTTCGAGCCGGAATCGAACCAGCGACCCAAGGATATCCACATGTATCAGGTCTACAGTCCTCCGCTCTACCAGCTGAGCTATCGAAGGGTCCACACTGGTAAGTGCTGAGTCCTTCCTTTTTGCAGAAATGACAAGAGGCCAACGCGTTGAATGGCCCCAGGTACAACATGCTTTTGGTTGGCTGGAAGGCCCCTAGGCAAGGAGCGGTGCATATGCTGGCTCCGCGGTTGTCAGGCATCCTGGGGCGGCAATTTTCAGAATGCCTGGGACTGGACAGTCACCTGTTGACTCATTTCCTCTACCCCCCCCACCCCGCCCTGTCCCTTTCTACACGGAGTGGGGGGATGACGCCCATCCCAGGCCAGAAAGCCAGCAAGAGAGTGAGGGGGAAGGAGACGTCGGGCAAACGGATGCGTGGGTTGGTTGGGGGCATGGAGAGCAGAAGATGCGTGGGTTGGTTGCGGAGGATGGAGAGCAGAAGAACGCAGCCCACAGGGTCACAGAAGATCCCTTGAGGAGGAGCACAGCCTCTAAGCGCCTCCCCCCACCCCACCCATCCCACCCCAGCCCTCGGCCCCGGTTCTGTACCCCCGTCACCTCGCCACTTACTCAAGACCGGGGCCGAGGTGCCCATGTAGACCTAGTCTTACTTTTATGCACAGTGAGGCTTCCTGGGATGTGATGGAGAAGGGATGTCGGGATGTTGGGCCAGGCAGGCCAGGGGTGGAGGGAAGGCGGTGGGGGTCGACGATGACACCACGCCCATAGGTACCCATCGGCCTGGCCCTCTGCGGCCATCCTACGAACTTGGATCCCCTTTTCTGCCCACAGAGCAGAATTTTTTTCAGTAGCTGTTTCTCCAGCATCCATCTTCCACTCCCTGCACCCTTCAGTTCCCTTCCTTCAGCCTGCTTTGTTTTCCCCACCTCCTTCCTGCTACCAGGTGTATTTCTGATCCCTAAGCCTGTGTTTTTCTCTCAAACTTTTCCCCTTCTTGTACATCTGTGTCTGTTTCTCACTTTCTATCTCTCAGGGTGTCTGGCTCTCTTTTTTGACTTTTTGGTCTGATTTTTCTCTGAAACTTTTTTTCACTGTTTCCTTCTTTGTTTCTCTCTGTCTCTTTCTCTTGCTTTTTGTCTCTTTTTTTTTTTTTTTCTGTCTCTCTATATTTCTACTTCTATATCTCTATGTCAGAATTTGCAGTGCATTTGTTCCTGATTCACCTAGTTTCGGCAGTCATTGCTCTTTCAGGTGGAACTAACACTTTCTGGGTGCAATGAGAGCAGTGTATAGGGCAATAGATATTATCTGAAGTGCAGGCTGAGAGAAGCCAGTGGGAAAATAAAGGGAGAGGTCCAGAGGTTTAAGAATAGTTATCCTGGATGTGTTTTTAATTATGTATGCTCAGATTCTCTTGGGCTTTTGCTGCAAGTTTCTTTTACTCTCCAGTTTTGAAGAAATCTTTAATGGCAATCAAAGAAATTTTGCTAGGATGCAACTTATGTATCCCTGGATTTAATTATTAATAAAGTACTACAATTGGCTCACCGATTGTAATGAAATGTATTATACCAATACAATTTGTCATTGGAAGGGAAAATAGTGGAAGAGGGGCAGTGAGAACATATATATGAGAACATTCTTGACACTGTGCTCACTTTTCTTTTACAGAAAACTGCCTCTAAACAGAAACAGTATTAACTGAAAAATTAATAAATTGATTTTGTCCATGTATATTCATTCATGTGTATACAACTACTGGAAAGAATGCTCTTGGGTAAGCAATAAAGGACGGCATCTCGTGCACAGTTAGAGGGGATGGTCTTAGCTAGGATCTTGGATAGGTCATCCACAGTAACAGGAGGAAGAAAAGTACTCAGATGCCTGTACATGGGTACCTTGTAGATGTTCTCCTGTGAATGCTTCTGTTTTCTTAGTGAAATAGAAAGCTGAGAGTGAGAATGTATGCTGAGGTATTGCTATTTTGAAGACACAAGAGAAGGGATGAAAGAGTAGAAGTGAAGGGATTGAGAAAAATAGTAAGATTGTTATGCATATGCACTTGAGATTATTGTCATGAATTTAAATTGAGACCATTTCAGCATCACTGGGTTTCTCTTCATTCTAGTTCAGCTAGGTGAGGGCACGTATTGAATGCTTACATTAAATAAAGATTGCTGTTTTGTTAAGTGAGTTTTTCTAAGCAAAAGAGGGACGATCATATTCAGACCCCTAGATCAAGAATTTAGCCAGGAACTTGAAACTTCTCTTGGTGATTCGTTTGAAGGACATGGGCCATCTTCTCTCCTTCACCACCTCCTGAAGGTGCTCTCTCCTTTGCCTAAAGGTGCTCTCTCCTACTAAAGGTGACCTCTCCAAAGGCACACTAAGAAAGGGGCAACACTTTGATTCAACCTGGGTTGCAATGGACATCAAATTCCACCCATCTACTCTCTGGGACCCCCAAGATATGGGCAAAGATCCGAAGTACACTGTACTTACAGTTCAAGCCGTGAAAATATCTCATAGGAGTTCATATTATGGGTTAAAACATTCTCGGGATCTTTGAGAGCAAACTGTAGGGGCAGTGAGCTAATTTTCCAAGTTAGTTGTCAAAGATGCTCGATTCAAGTCTGCAAGAATTGAAACATCTCCATCATCCCCGGGGCATCGCCTTTTTGCTGAGTCACATCTCGGGACAGTCTCACTCAGACCCCCTCTGTCCTGACTTCCTGGCAGAGAAAGATGCAGAGGGAAGGGTAGGAGCTCCATCGGGAGATCAGAAATAGGGGTTGGGGGCTTCCCTGGTGGCGCAGTGGTTGAGAGTCCGCCTGCCGATGCAGGGGACATGGGTTCGTGCCCCGGTCTGGGAAGGTCCCACATGCCACGGAGTGGCTGGGCCCGTGAGCCATGGCCGCTAAGCCTGCACGTCCGGAGCCTGTGCTCCTCAGCGGGAGAGGCCACAACAGTGAGAGGCCCGCGTACCGCAAAAAAAAAAAAAGAAAGAAAAAAAGAACTAGGGCTTGGGCGTGAGGAGGCAGAAACGTCCCAGAGCAAACATACCACTGGGGAGCTGAGGACCCGAGGGGCTGATTCTAAGGTCACTGATGTACTCCAGCAACAGTACAGACCCAAGGGTCTGCACCGGTGCTCTTGCCAAAGGAGTAACTCTTGAAGTTCGCTTATAGACTGCGCACGAAGCTTCTGTGAGTCTCCATTATGAGGAAAAAAATGTAAATAAAATAAATAAAAACAGACACCACTCCCTGTTTTCTCCAGCCTTTTATCCGTCTCCTGTTGCATGTGACAGCTTCCTCTTCTGGGGCTACACCTGTACTTAAAACTTCTCTTTCTTACGGAACCCTATCCTGCGGATGAACTTCAACCTTTAAGACTTATCAAAACTTACTACCTGGCAAAACTTTCTCAAGCCCTATCTGGCCAGAAAACAGGAACCCACTTGCCTTAAATAGTCTGACCTGAACCTCACTCTGGTACACTCAGTCACTCGTCTCAGCCCCAAACCGAGGACTAGATTACTATTCCCATCTTAGACCTCGGTTGTGCAACTGGCAAAGCTGTGGCTTAGCGGTGGTGGGATTCGAACGCCCCACCCAAAGAGACTGAGGCCTCATTCCAGTGCCTTAGACCGCTGGGCCACACTACTTGGTATTATGTGATATTGCCTATTCTTTCCCATACTACCTACTTTCTTTTACATTTCAGCTGTGCTCTATACAATGTGTTCTCGAAGTCCTAACTTGATACCTCAAGAGCAAGTGGAGGAAGGGTTCAGGGAACAGCGGAGGCTTATCACAAAAACTTACTCTCCTCATCGGCTCTGAAGTTTTCATCTTCCACCCAAGTGCTTAAATGGGAAGAACTTAGTGGATGAACAATGAGTGAATTGAGTCTGTGCCACACAACTAGGCCGTGGGCCTTCTGTAGGTGTTACTATGTTTTATTCTTTTAGGCTTCCTCTCAGTCTCGCCACAAATTTCTTAGGAAAACAAACGAAGGCTGACGCTAATGAAAGCCACAAAAATCCTATCTTCGAAGGAGCATGACTTATCAAATGGCGTTTTAAAGCATTTGCAAATCCTTGAGCACGTACTTAAAGCTGGAATCTAACCAACAACCTAAAGATGCCAACGGAGCTCTACAGCGCCGCCCCCCTCCCCCATTTTACCAGCTGAGGCATCAAAGAATGCACACATGTGGCTCTGCTGAATTATTTCTTCAGAGAAGGAGCAGCCTCTCACATGGTTTTATACTCTATTCCCAAGACACCTGGAGATGTCTTCTGCTCTCATAGCAGTTGCTCACGTCTTTGGAATTTGACAGTTTTAGGACCTTAGGCGTCGCCCAGGTCGCCATGTTGACATCTCTGCGTTACAGATCCACCCTCTTGTTGCTCCGGAACTTGTGCCGGGGGTGGGGTGGTGGGAAATGTCGTCGTGAGCAGAAAGCAGCGCTCAAGTTCCCTGTTGACAAACTCTGCTCCCCTGGTGGAACCGTCAACGCACCGCGGAGAGCTCTGCCCGGGGCTCCCGAAGGATCTCCGTCTCTAGGCCTCCCTCCTGGCCCAAGGACACAACGTGCTCATTTCTCCGAGAAAAACGTTTTGTTTTGTTTTTTCACAACTCACACACACACACACACACTGTATTTTATTTTTACAAGAGATAAATAAACTGACACCAAGCATTGTAAATGGATGACCACAACAAAAGCAACAATGATTGCAATTACCAAACACGAAACACATTCATACTATGTCATAATATTGACATTCAGTCCAGTAATCCTCCACTGTAACAGCTCCTTTACTTTGCAGTGAAAATTGATTTGTATACATTTTGCCTCTGAGTCCTTGTGGGATTTTTTTTTTTATTCAAACGGAAAGTCACAAAAATTATAATCATCCTCATCAGCTCACTCAGTCCCATGTAATTGATTGTTTTTTATCTTGATCTTTTGTTAGCACTTTTATGAATTCATCAGTTTTCCATTAGAGTTCTGAAAATGCTTATTCATTCAGTTCAGCAGTATAGTCAGTTACCAGAAACCTGAACTTGTCAGAGTCTTTTCCATGAATTCCTTGAAGATGAAACCCTTTTATAGAAAAACGTTTTGGTGATAGAAGTCCTGCAGCTCCACAGAGGCCTGACTGGGGCTTCCGATCCTGACAGCTGTCCCCTCCCACCAGGCAGTTTTTACTATCACAGAATATTCTGTCCACATGCACAGATCACCTTCATTTAATGGCTGACGCCATTTTTCAGAAGATCATTCAGGGCCCTTCAGGTTTTTAACCTGGCACATCACATCCAAAATAATTAAATTCCTAAAGCAGTAGTCCTCAACCCTGGCTGTACAGGAACTTAAAAACATTCTGATGTGGAGACCACACCCTAGACCAATTACATCAGGATCTCTGTGGGTGGTATTCAAGCATCAGCGTTTTGTAAAGTTTCCCAAGTGCAGCCAACATTTTAAAAAAAAAACGTGCAGTGCAGGAGGATATTCCAACAAGCCTGTTCTATTCCTTTTAAGGAAATCTCACTTGTCCTGCCCGTCAAGTCAAAACCTGCTTGGCCCACAGCTCTTTCTCTGGACACCTCCTGGGACACAGCCAAGAAATGTCATTGCTGGGTTCAAGGCTTGGATGGCAGCCGCCAAATGCCCCCTGGCTACTGTTGTCAGATTATGGAAAAGATAGTGTCCTCTACATCTTACCAGTTACTAGACTCTCAATAAAAACAAGGTAAGGTTGTTATAGATTACAACGAGGAACCACATATAAGAAGGGCTCTTCCCCAGTCCCTCTAAATTCCTGTCTTTCGGTCCCGTTCTTTGACATGTCTCAGGATGATCTAGGGCTTCTAACTCCCTTATTCCCACTCACACACTTGAAGTGAGCTCTGGACTTAAAGCCTTAGTACCAGGAGCAAATATATCCCCAAAATGACACCTGAGAATAGGTTTTCCGGTTCATGGTTGCGCGGATCCTAAATCGTTCATTTAATCGTCAGAGGCTGTCCTAATCAACATAGTCTAAAAGTACTGGCTTCTCTTTGACCTTTGACACGGCGTATAGAAGAGATGAGACAGAGATGTTGCTCCCGGAGCCATTGCGCTCTTCCCAAAGCTGCTGCCCAGGAACTGGGGAGAATGTTCGGGGGCGGGGAACCTTGGAGGAGGGGCTGGCACCAGTCTCAGAGCCATCTGCACCAACACTGGAGATTTTCTAGGTTAGGAGAGACATAGAGGTTGAAGTGGGTACTGTGCCTCAGCGGTCCCCAACCTTTCTGGCACCAGGGACCGGCTTCGGGAAAGACAATTTTTCCACGGCGGGGGTTTGGGGGACGCTTCAGGCGATAATGGGGATGCACAGATGAAGCTTTCCTCGCCCGCGGTTCACCTCCTGCTGTGCAGCCCGGGTCCTAACAGGCCGCGGACCCGTCTACAGCTGGGGGCTGGGGACCCCTGTTGTACAGGACAAATCACGTGTGAGGGGGTGGCGGCGCGGTGTATCGGGGGCTTTGTCCAGACTTAGCTGCGCAGGCGGCATTCACACAGACTGTGTTCCTGCTTCGTCTGGGGACTTGTCTTCTGGTGTGATAGCCCCCGGAGAGCGAGTTGCAATTACCTGAACCTAGGGACAAGTATCTCCTACTTCTTCCTTCTGCCAGTTTTGTTGGCTGTCGATCAACAAAATGTGTCTCTCTTAGAAGAATACAATAAGGAGACGCTGTAACTCAAAGGTTGGTGCACCAGGCAGGAGCTAAGATGTGAAGTCCCCATGGGGCCCTAGCTGTTGCCCTTTTTATACTCTCCGATGTATTTACCAGACCAAGAAAACTTCACTGGTGAATTTTAACAAACATTTCAGGGAGAAATAATGCCATTTATACACAACTTCTTCCAGAAAAATTAAAGGGGAGGTAATAATTCCCAACTCTTTCTATGAGGCCAGCATGTTTTTGGCATCAAAACCAAAGACACTACATAAAAAAGAAAACTACAGACCAATATGTCTCAAGAACATAGAAGCAAAGGAACTTAGCAATACTTTAGCAAGTTGAATCAATGGTATATAAAATAATAATACATCAAGATTAAAGTAAAGTGGGGGCTTCCCTAGTGGCGCAGTGGTTGAGAGTCTGCCTGCCGATGCAGGGCACAGAGGTTCGTGCCCCGGTCTGGGAAGATCCCACATGTCGCGGAGCAGCTAGGCCTGTGAGCCATGGCCGCTGACCCTGCGCATCCGGAGCCTGTGCTCCGCAACGGGAGAGGCAAAAAAAAAAAAAAAAAAAAAGTAAAGTGAGCTTTATCCCTGAAAAGCAAAGTTGGTTTAATATTCAAAGTCAGTTAATGTAAGTCATCATAGTAACAGATTAAAAAAAGAAAAATCATAGGATCTTACCAAAAGACGCAGACAAAGCATTTGACAAAGTATACATTCATTCTTCACACAAACCCTCAGCAAATAAGGAAAAGAAGGGAACTTCTTCAATATGATAAAGGACATCTATGAAAAACTTCCAACCAACATCAACTTAATGATAAAAGACTGAATGTTTCCCCTGTAAGATAAGAAGCAAACAAGGACATTTGTTTTCATCACTTGTATTCAACATTGTACTAGAGATTTTTGCCCAATAAATAAATTAAAAAAAAAATTGAAATAGAAGGCATCCAGCATCTGTGTTTAAACAAAGAAGTAAAGCTGAAATTCTTTTCCAAGAAAACATGAAAGCCTGGGGCATGTGGGAGCTGCCTGGCTGCCTGGACAGCACGTAGGAGCGTGAGGGGATTCGCGGAGTTTCAGGGTGCTGCCCCGATGGTAGATTACCTCCCAGGCCTCCCTTTCCCTCAATGGTGAGCTGATTGGGATGGTATGCCGGGAATCTCCTGAGTCTGCCCAGTGTCTGTGCCCTTCCCTGGCCAGCCCGAATGGCAAGATTGTGCTTTGGCGGAAACACAAGAGGAAGAGCAGACAGCACCAGCGGTTCATGGCCCAGAAGGCCTTGCTGCAGGAGCAGGGGCTGCTGAGCACATCCCCAGAGCCGGGGTCCTCCCCACCACCCACGCTGTTGGAGGCACCACCAGACAAGGAAGCCACCAGCAGTATGAGGGAGTGTGTCCAAGGGCTGAATCTGGAGGTGCCCCATGCAACAGAAAGCCCACACCCAGGGAATCTGCTGGGCCCTTGCCCAGCAAGTATGTGGCTATCGACTGTGAGATGGTGGGCACAGAACCCCGAACGTGGGTGAGTGAGCTGGCCCGCTGCTCTGTGGTGAGTTACCACGGCGAGGTCCTCTTCAGCAAGTATGTCTGGACTGAGATGCCCATCATGGACTACTGCAGTCTCTGGAGCGCCATCACTGGGCAGCACGTGTGCAAGGCTATCTCTTTCCAGGTGGCCCAGAAAGAGATCTTGAAGCTCCTGAAGGGCAAGGTGCTGGGAGGCACGTGCTGCACAATGACTTCCAGGTCTTTTCTCAAGTACGTCTACCCTCGGGGCCAAACTCCGGATACCACTTATGTCTCCAACCTCCTCAGCTAGTCCAGCCTCAACACCCAGACCCAGGTCTCTCTTAAGGACCTGACCCTGCAACTACTGCACAAGAAAATCCAGGTGGGCCAGCAGGGGCACTCCTCAGTGGAAGATGCCAGGACAGCCATGGAGCTCTGTGACTGAGCAGGACCCTATGGGGCCTTCCCGGGACAGGCTCTTCCCCTCATCCTCTGCTTTAGCTCCTCTCTGAAGTACCTAGATAACAGTATTTGATGCACATTTCCAGAGCTGGTTTACAGAAGTGAAAACCCCCCACCAAATGGAAGATGTTAACTACTTGATGACCATGAGCACACAGCCCCAGGCCTCCTGGAGCCTAAGGACTGATAGTGTTAACCCCTGTGACACCACCCTGTTACCTCAGCATCAGCCAATCAGAGAACTGTGCATGAGCTGATCACATACCCTGCGGACCCCCCCTCCCTCACCTGGCCTTTAAAAATGCTTTGCCGAAACCCTTCGGGGAGCTCGGGGTTTGGGGGCCTGAACCACCTGTCTCCTTGCGTGGCCCTGCAATAAACCCACGCACATATGGTCACCTTATCTTTGATAAAGGAGGCAGGAATGTACAGTGGAGAAAGGACAGCCTCTTCAATAAGTGGTGCTGGGAAAACTGGACAGCTACATGTAAAAGTATGAGATTAGATCACTCCCTAACACCATACACAAAAATAAGCTCAAAATGGATTAAAGACCTAAAGGTAAGGCCAGAAACTATCAAACTCTTAGAGGAAAACATAGGCAGAACACTCTATGACATAAATCACAGCAAGATCCTTTTTGACCCACCTCCTAGGGAAATGGAAATAAAAATAAACAAATGGGACCTAATGAAACTGCAAAGATTTTGCACAGCAAAGGAAACCATAAACAAGACCAAAAGACAACCCTCAGAATGGGAGAAAATATTTGCAAATGAAGCAACTGACAAAGGATTAATCTCCAAAATTTACAAGCAGCTCATGCAGCTCAATAACAGAAAAACAAACAACCCAATCCAAAAATGGGCAGAAGACCTAAATAGACATTTCTCCAAAGAAGATATACAGACTGCCAACAAACGCATGAAAGGATGCTCAACATCACTAATCATTAGAGAAATGCAAATCAAAACTACAATGAGATATCATCTCACACCAGTCAGAATGGCCATCATCAAAAAATCTAGAAACAATAAATGCTGGAGAGGGTGTGGAGAAAAGGGAACACTCTTGCACTGCTGGTGGGAATGTGAATTGGTACAGCCACTATGGAGAACAGTATGGAGGTTCCTTAAAAAACTACAAATAGAACTACCATATGACCCAGCAATCCCACTACTGGGCATATACCCTGAGAAAACCATAATTCAAAAAGAGTCATGTACCAAAATGTTCATTGCAGCTCTATTTACAATAGCCCGGAGATGGAAACAACCTAAGTGTCCATCATCGGATGAATGGATAAAGAAGATGTGGCACATATATACAATGGAATGTTACTCAGCCATAAAAAGAAACAAAATTGAGCTATTTGTAATGAGGTGGATGGACCTAGAGTCTATCATACAGAGTGAAGTAAGTCAGAAAGAGAAAGACAAATACCTTATGGTAACACATATATATGGAATTTTAAAAAAGAAAAGATGTCATGAAGAACCTAGGAGTAAGACGTACTAGAGAATGGACTTGAGGATATGGGGAGGGGGAAGGGTAAGCTGTGACAAAGTGAGAGAGTGGCATGGACATATATACACTACCAAACGTAAAATAGATAGCTAGTGGGAAGCAACTGCATAGCACAGGGAGGTCAGCTCGGGTGCTTTGTGACCACCTAGAGGGGTGGGATAGGGAGGGAGGGAGGGAGATGCAAGAGGGAAGAGATATGGGAACATATGTATATGTGTAACTGATTCACTTTGTTATAAAGCAGAAACTAACACACTATTGTAAAGCAATTATACTCCAATAAAGATGTAAAAAAAATTTTTTTTTTTAATCAAGATAAAAAAACCTTTCTCTGCTCCAAACTGCAACGTTTCGGTTTGTTTGGTCTCACTGTTCATCGTTGGGCACAGGAACTTGGGCTAACAGCTCTACCAGCTGGTGGAGGTGCAGTGGGAACAGCAGGAGGCCAGCAGCTTCCGGACCCACCCTGAGGACAAAGAGCCTGAGAGCAGCACGGACATGGAACAGTGTATGGAGGAGCAGTACTGGCCTGAGGACCTGGCCCAGGGCACCAGCAGAGGAACGGAGGAGGCGCAAGGCAGAAGGGAGTGAGGAAGGAGAGGCTCCCTTGGGGAGAGGAGACCAGGAGAGTGGCTGGGGCAGGATGCTGCCAGCTGCCCCCAGGGTCTAAAGAGTTGGGACCATCTATCTGTACTCTGAGCTCCCTCTGCCCACAGCACAGCCCTCTGCGCTCCAGGGCTGTTGACAGCCCTTTCTCCCCAAATCCTGTGGCTTTGCTAACGGCACTTTATAGATATGATGAAAATGTCCCGTGGGCTAGCTGCTAGAGCCCAGCAGGAGTAGGGAATGTACCAACAGCTGGTCCCAGGCTGTCACTCTAAATGTCTCCCTCCCTGGGGAGGTGGGTAGGGGTGGCAATATCTAAGAGTCTTCTTATCTCCACTCAGTGACCTGGGGTAAAGTTCTCATCCTGTTGTCGCCGTCTGCCTCTTCCTTCAGAGTCATTTTCCAGAGAATAAATATGCTCTGAAGCTATAGAGTTAAGGCCACTCAAGGGTCATTTTATCCCTTTCTCTCAGAACTGGAACTCTGACTGTAGCCATTGTAGGAACTGCTAGGCTACAATGGAATAGCAGAGCCTACAGGCTCATGGGAAGCTGGGTCCTCCCATGGTGCCACCAGAAGTCACCAGGCCCTATTCTGGGAGGAGTGAGAGCAGATAAGCTTTGGGTGGAGACTGGCATATTTATTTTCACCTGAATCAGGCATTCCTCCTGCGCACCCAGCACTAGGCTCTCTTAAGCAAACGCCTGAGAAACAAGACAGCAATTTGAATTCTGGGACCCCTGTGCAGAATTGCCCACGATGACCTTTGCTTATTGAAAGCAAGGCCACAGGTCTGTAGGGGCGCAGAGTGCCCGTCTACTGGGGCTGGGCCAGGCATTAAGAGCTGTGCAGTTTTGCCTGCACTCAGGTGGGTGCCCCCAATCACTGCAGTGGCTGGGTTTTCTCCAAATTTCTAAAAGTGTTCTCTGTCAGAATTCATCCCCTACCCCTCTTTCCTAAGGGGCAGTTTTGGGGTATGAGGTAACGAAGAGCTCAGGTCACACAGAACCTGAGCCCCACCTTAAGAGCTCTGAGACTTAGGCAAGTATGTGACTTCATTCTTGAGTCTCTTCCCTCATCTGTAAAGTGGGGATAATGACACAACGACCTCACGAGGCTGTTTCGAAGATGAAGTACTAAGTGCTTGGCACAGTGCCTGGTACATAGTGAGCCGAGGGTGAAACCGAGTGAGGCCCTGTGGGGCTCCCGGGCACGGAGGCCTTTTTCGTCCCCTGTTTCTTGTAGGCAAGACTCCAGCCTCCAGGACCTTCCCTGAGTTCCAAAGGGCAGATTCAAACAGTTGCTAATTAACTGTTGCCAGGAAACCACCTGAAGCCAGATTAAAGGACCAGAAGAGCTCATCCAGATTAGGGGACCGACCACCTGAGACAAGATGAAGGGAACGCAGGCCCTGCTCACCCCTGACCTTGTCAGAGACCCCACCCTTGAACAGTTGCTGTAAAACTTCTCCTCCAATCCTCCCGGGTTAGGACACATAGTTTTCAAGGACAGGAGCCCACTGTGTCCCCCTTTGCCTGGCAAAGTGATAAAGCTATCCTTCTCTACTTCACCCAAAACTCTGTCTCCAAGATTTGATTCGGCACCGGTGTACAGAGGCCGAGCTTTCGGTAGCAAGGTCAGTGAGAGCAGCTGTTTTTTCTTTAAGGATTAGTGTTGGACTCTTCTGGATAACACCTGAACTTGCCCTCGGGTTGCGTGGCTTTGGCCTAGACAGAACTCTTCTAGCATGTGGGGCACGGACCTCTGAGGACAACGTGTGGGGTTCTGGGCTCTCACTGTTCCTGTGCTGCATGGATTTCCAGTCAGTCTGAGCAAAGCGGCAGGGCCAGGAAGGGAGACACACTACTGAAGGCGCACACCTGCGAACTCAGGACCACAGTTCTGGGAGCTGGCTGAGTCACTGACCGCTGCTGGCCTGGCTCCAGGACTTTGTTCTATATTCCTTGAAAATCTGTAGCTGACAGCACACTCACAGCTGAGCAGTAGCTTCAGTTCTTTCGTCTACGGGTTGATGGAGGATGGAGCTGTTAGCAGTGGGGAAATGTACTGGGTTTAAAATGTTCTGGAATAAAATTCAATTGGAAAAGTGAAAAAAAGACATGAAAGCCTATGTAAAAATCCTATGGGATCTACAGAAAGCTATAACTACTAATTGAATCTAGAAAAGCTGTAGAATACAAGATTAATATTGAAATTAATTGTATATATTACTGTTTATACTATATATACATATATAGAGAGTGTATACCATATATATGTGTGTGTGTATATATATATATATATATACACACACACATATATATATAGTATCTAGCAATGAACAATCAGAAATCAATTTTGGGGCTTCCCTGGTGGCGCAATGGTTACGTAATCCACCTGCCAATGCAGGGGACACGGGTCCAAATCCTGATCCATGAAGATCCCACATGCTGTGGAAAACTAAGCCTGTGTGCCACAACTACTGAGCCTGCGGTCTAGAGCCCACAAGCCACTACTACTGAGCCTGCGTGCCACAACTACTGAAATCCGTGTGTCTAGAGCCCATGCTCCACAACAAGAGAAGCCACCACAATGAGAAGTCCGCACACTGCAAAGAAGAGTAGGCCCTACTCGCCACAACTAGAGAAAGCCCACACGCAGCAACAAAGACCCAACACAGCCAAAAATAAATAAATAAAATAAATAAATTTATTTTTTAAAAAAAGAAATTGATTTTGGATTATTTTAAAAAGCAATCCAGGGGCTTCCCTGGTGGCGCAGTGGTTGAGAGTCCGCCTGCCGATGCAGGGGACACGGGTTCGTGCCCCGGTCCGGGAAGGTCCCACATGCCGCGGAGCGGCTGGGCCTGTGAACCATGGGCGCTGGGCCTGCGTGTCCGGAGCCTGTGGTCTGCAACAGGAGAGGCCACAGCAGTAAGAGGCCCGCGTACCACAAAAAAAAAAAAAAAAAAAAAAAAAAAGCAATCCAATTTACTATAGTATCATTAAATATGAAATACTTAGCATTAAAACATGTACACTTGTACACAGAAAAAAAAATGCTGAGAGAAATGAAAGAAAACCTAAATACAAGGAGAAACATTTTGTGTTTGTGAATGAGAAGACAATACTGTTACGATATCAATTATCCCTAAATTGATTTATGGGTTCAATGTAATCCAAATCAAAATAACAACAGGTTTTTTCCCCAGAAAATGACCAGCTGATTCCAAAATTCATATGAAAATCCAAAGACATAGCATGCTCCAGACAACAAAAGAACAAAGTTGGAGGACTCACTGTGCCTGACCTCAAGACTTAGAAATCTGCTATAATCAAGACTGTAGTATTGGCATTAAGATACAGAAATAGATCTATGGAACAGGAGTGCAGAGGTAGAACTACACATGTATTATCAACTAATTTTTGACAAAATTTCAAAGGCAAGTCAGTAGAGAAAAGTAGTCTTTTCAACAAATGATGCTTTAAAAGAACCCACAATTTTGATCCCTACTTCACACTGAATGAAAACTTAACTCAAAATGGATGAAAAATCAAAACTATACAATATTTAGAATAAAATCTTTGTCAACGTGTGTTGGGGGAAGATTTCTTAGATGCAACATTAAAAGCATGACCCATCAAAGAAAAATTAAGTACAGTGATTAATGGTACTTCCTAAAATTAAGAACCCCTGCCCTTCAAAAGACACTGTGAAGAGATCGAGAAGACAAACCAAACACTGGGAGCTAATACTGTAGTTGCACCCTCAGGTCTTTAGGGAGGATTTTGCCTCGTAGGGGACAGTTGACAATGTCTGGAGACATTTTCGTTTGTCAAAACTGGGACAGTACTACTGGTGTCTAGTGGGTAAAGGCCAGGGATGCTGCTAGACATTCTATAATACATATGACAGGCCCCCACTACAAAGAATTATCCGAAATGTCACTATGGTAGAGGCTGACTAAAGTAATAAGTCACAAGGACAAATTTATCTCTTGCCTCCTTTAGGGCGTGGGCCAGTCAGGACTATCACCACCTACTGAAATGAACCTATGACTCCTTCTCAAAGGCTTGAGGAAGGGACAATGCCTGGATTCAGACCTGGGGGCAATGAGTGCCAAACCGTGCCCAGTGCACCCTTTGGGTACCAAAGGCAGTGCACATGGGGCAGGAAAGTCATTGTCCAAAGGTCAGAAAGTGAGAATTTTCTCTAAAGAGCTCAAATTCTGACTTTGAACCCATCCTAGGATACCTTGCGGGCTGGGGGTGGGGGGGCGGTCAGGGTACTCTTCCTTGGCTGGCTCAAGCCTGGGAATTGAATCACTTCCCTGAGCTGGTGAGCAGTTGCCTCCCTCGATGATTCGCTTTCTGCTTAACCCATCGTCCTTTACTGGCTTGACTTTACCACCTTTACCTGGAGGGAGAGACGGAAAGAGAAAGGGTGGGTGGGTGGGTGGGGGGTGCTGTTGTAGCGGGGAGACCAGTGGAAAAATAGAGAACATCCCGTAGGAAACTGTAGGGGTTCCAGAGGCAGTCAGCAGCAGAAACTGCACAGGGACACTTTGCATCTGCCCGAATTTTGCCGTGTTAACACTTAAGAGAAAATGATGAGACAAAGTCTTACTTCGCTCCCCGCTCCCCTCCGTGCCCCAACCCGGAGTCTGCAGAGTCTTACTCTCCAATTCAGCCTGCAGGGAGGGCGGCTGTCGTTTAGATTGGATCGGTTCCTGCTTCCGGGAGCCTAACACCACTCCACCCCGCCGGTTTCAAGGCTCTCCACCTCTCCTCAACTTGAACGCCCCAGCTTAAATGCAACACCTTTGGCAAGTCCTTATCCGCTCCTGTAGTGAGGACCCGGGCAGTGATCGCTTGTGATTAAGAAGGAAAACCTTGGCAGCGGTGGGATTCGAACCCACGCCTCCAGAGAGACTGGAGCCTAAATCCAGCGCCTTAGACCGCTCGGCCACGCTACCAAGCGTATACCGTATAATTCTGTACACTTACTAGTTATACATTTCTGCCCTTTTTTTTTCCCGCGTTGTTCCCAACTCCCTGACCCGAAACCATGATTCTAGGTATCACCAAGGGACACTAAGAAAGTTCTTCTCAGCTCTACTAGGACTCGAACCTGCATTCACCCAACCCAAACAGCTCTTCTCACTCCAGGAGCTAAAAGAGAAAGACCTTCAAAACCAAGTATCCCCTCCCAAAGCACAGCACTTGGGATCTAGAATGTAACATCTTTGCGAAGGCGGGTCACGTCAGCTTCCGCCTGGCGTCCAGTAAGCGCTCAAAAGCTGTTGAAAGGACGAATGAACTCCTTGATTTAGACTCCAGATCACTTGGGGATCGCGGTGGTGGAATAAGAAAGAGCAAACTGTCTTTCCCTGTCACCACCCCGCGCGCCGCGACTTCAATTCTTTGCTAAATTTTGACTTTGATACTTTTCGGTTCTGAAGCCGGGAGAGAAGTCTCCAGAAGTCATGCACAGTGCGTGCGTTAAACGACTGGGGAAAAAAAAAAAGCTTGTTTCCTAGTTCCCTTTTTCTTCTCTTGGCCGAAAGCGCAAATAGCCGACGCCGATCAATGCCCGCTCCCTAGTGCCAGCCCAAGCAGAGTCTGCAGTCTTCCTCCCCAGTTCAGCCTGCGGGAAGGGAGGCTGTTTTTTAGGTCGGATCGGTTCCTGCTTCGCGGGAGCTTCCAGTCCCTTTTGTATCTCTGTGTCTCCCATTTCTGCGTCTCCCAGAGAGGTCCTGTTTCCCCTGCGCAGTTGTAGCCCGGTGGAGGCTATTACTACTGGCGACTGCGGAAGGAGACGGACTGAGACGTCCTTCCATAGGGACTGAGGCCGGATTCTGAGCCCAGACTGGTACTCAAGGTGCCCAGGATTCCTGACAACTCTCACGCTCCCGCTCCTCATCCTACCTAGAAGCCCAAGGCTGCCGGCCTCCGGAGGGGAGCCTGGGAACGGGGCCAGAATAGGCGAGAGAATTACACTGTCACGCCTCTTGACACGGAGAAGAGGAGCCACACATCAGTTCTCCAAATGTTTGAGCATCTGTCTAGGATCCACCAAACTTGAGTTTCCATGTTCCCTATGTGAAAAGGAATTCTTGCTGCTTTTAATTACAACGAAGTGGAAGTTACAGAAGACCACGATGCTATGTCTCTTTTGCTACTTTGTGGCAGTAGCTGAGAATTATTTCACAACTACTGCCTAGACTTGGGGGTGGGGGGGCGGGCAATAAAAACCATTGCAGCAGAGATCGGTTTTGTATTTTGGAATTCTAACAGGTGACTGAGCAAAAGGCTGGGCAATGGGATTGGCGGATGCTTGGGCCAATTTTCTGCCTTCTAAGGGTAGAAATTGTGGTTCCCTGGTGATATCCGATCACATCCTTCATTTGATAAAATTAAAGCTATTTGGGGGGCAAATTCCATCAAGAGCCTTAAACGGGGAGGTTGTATATGCTCTGTGCTTCCCTCTCTCTTGCAAATATGCAGTCTATGTCAGAGAAGAAGCACCCAGACCTGGCTTACTTCCTTAAGAATAGACAATTGTCATTGTTTCTTAATTCCCCCAAGAGAAGGGAAAATTAATCCCTTCTCTTGGTGGTGTTGAAGTTTCCCAGGACACATAAAGGGGATTTTCCCAGAGCCTCCAGTAAAATTCTATGGTCTTTGTTTTGGGTGGAATTGTGTCCCTCCAGAAGGATATATAGAAGTCCTAATTCCCAGTGCCCCAATATGTGACCTTATTTGGAAATAAGGTATTTACAGAAGTAATCAAATTAAAATGAGGTCATTAGTGTGGGCTCTAATCCAATACGACTGGTGTCTTTATAAAAAGGGGGAAATTTGGGCATAGAGATAGAGATCTCTTCCTGAAATCCCATAAATTTCAACATAAAAGTGAAGGGAACAGGGATTGCAGGAAGACTGCTAACTCAGATTCTCTGTGGGATCTCTGTAAAAGAACCTCAACGTATTTTCAAGGGTAATAGAGGTAGACATATTGGGGCTGGAGCTCCCTGCTGGTGTGGAAAGAGATCACTGGAGAGGGGCATCTCACCAGGGGTAGAGCAGTGGCCCTCAAATGTTAGCATGCATCACAATCACCTGGAGGGCTTATTAAAAAGACAGATTGCTAGACTCAACTCTTGGAATTTCTGATTTAGAAGACCAAGGGCCTAAGAATTTATATTTCTAACAGGTTGTGAGGTGCTGCTGCTGCTACTGATCCAGGGACCATGCTTCGAAAACCACTGCAGCAGAGATCAGTTTTTTATTTTGGAATTGTAACAGAAATGAGGAAGGCAAGCTGAAGGAGTCAAAGATGTGCAGACTTCTTGAAAGCAGTGTGCAGGGAAGAGATGTATGCTCAATATGGTGGCAGTGGGGGAAAAATGAGAGGCCTTGGATATAAATGAGAGGGAAAAGCCTGGCAAAATAGTAAAGACTACTATTAAGGACAAGGATAAGGTCCTTCCGATACTGGTGAACAGTACCGGTCACTTTATGACCCTTAAGACATGCATAGGGCTTCCCTGGTGGCGCAGTGGTTGAGAGTACGCCTGCCGATGCAGGGGACACGGGTTCGTTCCCCTGTCTGGAAAGATCCCACGTGCCGCGGAGCGGCTGGGCCCGTGAGCCATGGCCGCTGAGCCTGTGCGTCCGGAGCCTGTGCTCCGCAACGGGAGAGGCCACAACGGTGAGAGGCCCGTGTACCGCAAAAAAAAAAGGCATGAATAGAATGTGGACCCAAGGATGCCCAGGACTAGAAATGCTAGAGGTCTCAGATGAACTACGCAAAAGTGGAATCAAATGGTGCTATCTTCTGAAGTCTCTGGCCACGTGTATTTGTCTTACTGGGCATGGCATAAAGACAGATGAGCGTGCAGGAGAAACTAGGAGAAATGTTTGCACCCTTACCCTCTCCTAGGCCACATGGAAAACTTTGCACATATCCAAATTAATCAACTGAGGTCACCCTGGAAACTTGATACCACAGGTCTTTCTCATCTGTGAAAGAACTTTAGAGACTTGAAGTCTAGGAAGTCTGAGGTCCATGAACAATGCACCTGCAAGATCTCGGCCTAAGAAAATGGAGTCTCATCTACCCTTGATCTTCTATGTCCAAGTGTATTTTTTATCATGTCCATTTTACGGACTTAGACAAGGTAGAGTTCACATCCTTGTCAGTAGTGTGCAAAATACTTGCATTCTCCTTTGAACCTTAGAGACCTAAGGATGTCTACCAGGATATGCATCCTACAGTCCTTCATTCTATCAACTGAGTGATTGAAGTATGTGTCGACTGAAAAAACATGTATAATGTGAGAGTTCTGAGTGAGTTTTATTGGGGGCAAAATGAGGACTATAGCCTGGGAGACAGCATCTCAGACAGCTCTGAGGAACAGCTCTGAAGAGGTAGGAAGGAACTCAGTATTGTATGTGATTTTAGTGAAGGGGGTACATGCAGTCAAGCACACATTTTGGCAAGGAGCAGATGTCTCTGTTAATGATTTTAGTGCTTTTCTAGATGTAAGAAGATGCAAGAATTTGGGCTCATAAAATCTTCTCCTGAAAATATCTAACTATCTGAAAGGTCTGTTTTGCCAGTTTTTCCCAGAGCACACATTGCCTCATTCCTGATCTCCACCCTGAACCCCTTTCAGGGTGTGTTGAAGGTCAGGGACTGCAGTGGCTAGTGACTTAATCCTTGCAGAGGCAGATGGCAAATGCCAGTTTGTAGTTGGCATATGCATAGTAAACGTTATTCAAAGTTCCTTTTTGTTAGGAATCTATCCAGTTACCTCCCAGTACCAGATATTGGTTACTGTGTTCATAAAACCTTCGAAGTCCTCACTGAATATTTTGTCTACTTGTTTAATACTTACTGAGAGAGGATTGTTCAAATATCCAATGATGATTGTGTATTTTTCTATTTCTTCTCTCAGTTATGTCAACTTTTGTTTCTTACCTTTGAAGACATGTTATTAGATACATAAAAATTCAAGGATATTGTGGAGAGTTTAAATAGAATTTCTTTTCAGGGCAGTTTTAAGTTCACAGAAAAATTGAGTAGAAAGTGCATAGAGTTCCCATATACCTCCTGCCCTCACACATGCACAGACTCCTCCATCTTCAGCATCCCACACTGGAGTGGTACAGAATGGTACATATGTTACAATCAATGAATCACACTGATACATCATTATCACCCCCAAACCACAGTTTACAATAGGGATCACCCTTGGTGTTACAAATTCTATGGATTCTAACAAATGTATGACATGTATCTACTGTATCAAATAGAATAGTTTCACTGCCCTAAAAATCCTCTGTGCTCTGCCTATTCACCCCTCCCTCACCCCAACCCCTGGCAACCAGTGATCTTTTTGTTTCGTTCATAGTTTTGCCTTTTTCAGAGCATCAAATAGTTGGAATCATACAATATGTAACATTTCAGAAGGGCTTCTTTCATTTAGTAATATGCATTTCAGTTTTTTGTCTTAGTCAGCTCAGGCTACCATACAAAATACCATAGACTGGGTGACTTGAACAACAGAAATATATTTACTTACAGTTCTGGAGGCTGGAAGTCCAGGATCAGGGTGCTAGGATTGTCGAATTCTGATGTAAGCTATCGTCTGGCTTACAGGCAAGCACTCTGTCCTCACATGGCAGAGAAGGAGAGAGAAAGAGAAAGCAAGCCCTCTGATATCTCTTCTTATAAGGACACTGCTCCCAGCTTGAGGGCCCCATCCTGATGGCCCCATCTAACCCTACTTACCCCCAAAAGACCATCTCCAAATACCATCACATTGGGGGTTAGGGCTTCAACATATGAATCTGGCGGAAACGTAGTTATTCAGTCCATAACAGTTCTTACATTTCTTTTCATGGCTTGTTAGCTCATGCTATAGGTCTCAGTGCTGAATAATAGTCCATTGTATGGATGTACCACAAGGAATATTGTATATAATTGACACTTTTATAATAAAATATTCCTCAATATCTCATATAGTACTTCTCACCTTAAAGAATCTGTTGTCTGATATTGATATAACTACATCATTCTTTTTCCTTTAAAGAGTTTTCAATGGTATGTCTTTTCCATTTTTTTCCTTCCAGCCTATCTGTATGATGGAAGAAAGTTTCATATATTTGAATTCATAAACTCAAACTTTTCATAAATTTCCATATATAAATGTTTAAAACATTTGCATCATCACAAGTCATTCTGGCTTATACACAATTTGGCTTGAACTTTACACTAACTAGAACAGCTTGTCTTATGACCTGTCAAACATGCATTGTACATCTGCTTTAGCCATTAAAGAAAATAATGTATTGTAAAATCAAAATGGAATGACTGTGGTTTAGGTTTCCTCTTGTAACTATGCAAATATTTTGGACCCCAGCCAATCCTTGCTTAACAAACACCCTTACTTCTTGCCAGCTCCATACCTAAATCTTGACAAGCAACTTACATAACTTTGCACTTTTTGCCTATGTAAGCCTCCATTTTATAGGTTGGTGGAACACAGTTCAATTGCTTCTTGAATCTGTGTCTCCTAGGGTACAGTCCTTGGTTTGGAACAAATAAAACTCTTTTCTCTTTCTATTGTTCATTGTTTATTGATTATTTCTGTCAACACTTGTCTTTACATTTAAAATGTGTTTTCTATAAACAGCATAGAGTTAGGTCTCATTTCTACTCAATCTAACAATTTTTGCTTTTAACTACAATATTTGTAACATTTACATTAATTGTAATTTCTGATACAGAGGAGATTGAGTCTACCAATTGCTATTTGCTTTCTATTATTCCCATCAACACTTAAAAAAATAACTCTATTGAGGTATGATTTACATACCTTAAATTCATCTTTGTAAGTGTATAATTCAATGATTATTTTGGTAAATTTATCAAGTTGTACCACCATCACAATAATCAAGGTTTAAAACATTTGTGTCATCACAGTAAGATCCCTCTTATCTGTTCTTTGTTTCTTTATTCCTTGTTAACTGAGAAATCCAGGAACAGAGACCTGGTTGAGACAGAAAATAAATGCTTTTATTTGGGGTTTGTTAGGACTGCAGCCCAGGAAGCATAAATTCAAGGAAGCACTTGAATTGTGTTCCATTGCATTACAAAATGAGGGAAGCTTACAACAGCAAAAAACTGTGCGGTTACATAAATTATTTGTCAAGAATTAGAAGTAAGCATGCTTATTAAGCAAGGATTGATTGGGATTTGAAATGATAACATAGTTGTGACATGGGTGGGGGACATTTTGAAACTACAAGGTTGTAGCTAGCAGCGGCTAGCAGATATATATATATATATTTTATTGGAGTATAATTGCTTTACAATGTTGTGTTAGTTTCTGCTGTACAATTAAGTGAATCAGCTATATGTATACATATAACCCCTGCCGCTTGGACCTCCCCCCTCTTCCCACCCATCTAGGTCATCACAGAGCACCGAGCTGAGCTCCTTGTGCTATACAGCAGGTTCCCACTAGCTATCTACTTTACACATGGTAGTGTATTTATGTCAAACCTAATCTCCCAATTCATCCCACTCTCCCCTTCCCCCTCGTGTTCACACATCCATTCTCTAGGTCTGCATCTCTATTCTTGCCCTGCAAATAGGTTCATCTGTACCATTTTTCTAGATTCCACATATATGAGTTAAATCGACAGATGAATGGATAAAGAAGATGTGGTATATAAAAATATATACATATACATATAATGGAATATTACTCAGCCATAACAAGGAACAAAACTGGGTCATTTGTAGAGATGTGGATGCACCTAGAGTCTGTCATACAGAGTGAAGTAAGTCAGAAAGAGAAAAACAAATACCGTGCCAGATGTTGTTTTGAAAATGACTGGTAATGTCCTTGAAGTTCAGAAAATTCAAGTTCTCAGTGATTTGGGAACGTTTCTGAAACCACATCCACAATGGGTACCTGGCTCCATTTTGGATGTCTGAAACATAGTTACTCCATTTTGATTTTTTAAATAATCTTAAATAAATCATCATCGTCCTTTTCTGACTTTCTTTGTATTAAACAAGCACTTTTATCATTCCATTTATCTCCTCCATTTTGTTTTACTTTTAGTTATCATTCTTTAAGTTCTTAACCTTAAATTTACTAAATGCATCATTTTTATTAGTCTACCTGAAATTAACATTTTAATCATATCCCAGACAATGCAGAAAACTTACAATGCAAGAAACATATTGCAGATGGCAGAATTTCCTTCTTTTTAAAGGTTGAATATTACTTTATTGTATATATGTATACCATATTTTCTCTATCCATTCATCCATCAACATTTAGATTGTTTCCATATCTTGGCTACTGTGAATAATTCTGCAATAAACATAGGAGTTCAGATGTCTGTTTGAGATACTGATCTCATTTCCTTGGGATATAAACCCAGAAGTGGAATTACAGGATCATAAGGTAGTTATATTTTTAATTTTTTTTAGTATCCTCCATACTCTTTCCATAATAGCTCTACCAATTAACATTCCAACCAAAGTGCACAATGGTTTTCTTTTGTCCACATCCTCACCAACAGTTGCTATCTTTTGTCTTTTTGATAAAATCCATTATAGCAGGTGTGAGGTGATATCTCATTGTGGTTTTGATTTGCATTACCTTGATGATTAGTAATGTTAGTACCTTTTCCTATATCTGTTGGACATTTGTATGCCTTGTTTTAAGAACTGTCTACTCAGGTCCTTTACCCATTTTTTAATTGGTCATTTGTTTTTTTGCTATTGAGTTATATGATTTTTTAAAAAATATATTTTAGGTATTAATCCCTTATCAGATATATGGTTTGCTAATGTTTTCCCCTATTTGGTAGAAAATATTCACTCTATTGATTGTTTCATTTGATGAACAGAAACTTTTTAGTCTGATATAATCCCACTTGTCTATTTTTGCTTTTGTTGCCTGTGGTTTTGGTGTCATTATCAGAAAATCATTGCTTAAACCAATGTTGAGAAGTTTTTCCCCTATGTTTTCTTCTAGTAGTTTTATAGTTTTAGGTCTAACACTTAAGTCTCTAATTCATTTTGAGTTGATTTCTATATAAGATATGAGATAATGGTCCAATTTTATTCTTTTGCATGTGGATATCCAATTTTCCCAACACCATTTCTTAAAGAGGCTATCCTTTCCCTATTGTGTGTTCTTGGCACCCTTGCCAAAGATCAGTTGAATATATATATGAAAACTTATTTCTGGGCTCTATATTATGTTCCTTTGATCTATGTCTATTTTATGGTAGTATGTTACTATTTTAATTACTGTAGCTTTGTAATACATTTTGAAATCAGAAAGTATGATGTCTCCAACTTTGTTTTTCTTGCTCAAGATTGCTTTGGCTAGTCAAGTGTTCAAAGAAGACAAAGAGATCAAAGAGAATAAATCCAGTCCTTGTAAGAACTGTAAATAAACACTGATATTTACTAAAAAAAAAAAATTGCTTTGGCTCATCAGTGACTTTTGTGGTCCCATATGAATTTTAGGATTGTTTTCTATTTTTGTAGAGAATGCAATTGGGATTTTGATAAAGATTGCACTGAATCTGTAGATCACTTTGTGTAGTTTGGATATTTTAACGCTATTAATTCTTCCAATCCATGAACACAAAACACTTTCCACTGAACAGATGTTTAGAAAACAAAGGTTGTCCTGTTGCATAAGATAAGTTTCTTAAGTGGGGCTTCTCTCACTAGAAAGTGTGTCTGCTTGAGGGTCTGAAATCATGAATTGGCCTGAAAAAGGAGGTCAGAGATTTTTCAGAGGAAATCTGCCCCAGCAGGGCTAAACGCACATGCCATGTTAGACTGTTTCTACCCAGTGTTTTTTTATGAACATTATCTTAGAGATTCTCAGTCTCAGTAGGTAACCATATGTTTATTCTTAGGTAACTTCTCCTTTTTCTATAAGGATACTCTGTGTGTGTTGGGTAGGTGAGACATTCATCTCTGTGCTGGTGTCAGGTACACCATTCAGTGACCACATAAATATGAGAACTGGCACCTGAATTCAGACTAGTTTCCTGGAATTTATGCTTAAATTGGGTGACAGCTAGAAGTCCCTTAGAGATTTTCAGTGCTTGTTTTACCAAGAATTTCAGGAAGAGGAAACTATAAGAGTCTGTTGTATTCTAGATTTCTGAGGGTAATAATTTCCTTCACTCTCTGCACATATCTGTGTATTTGTTTGCTCTCCATTTCTAGTATTTATTAATGCCCTGGTATGTGCTGGTGGTCACTTTGCTAGGTATTTTGGAGACCCAGAAGTATAATCCATACAACCTTCCCCTAAAGGAGCTGTATAATGTATAAACTGCAGATGATGTACTAATACACACAATTCTAAAAGCAAAACAAAGCCATCTAAAGCCAAAGTGCAGTACAGTCTCCTTCCCTTTTTCTTTTCCATCTCATTCAGTTCTTTCTTTGTATCTTTTGTAGCATTTTCCAAAAGATGGACATAGAAATAGACAGAAAACCACAACTCAGAAGTAATTCTGGAAGATTAAAAAAATTAAAATGTGCATCCTTTTGACAATATTTCATATAAGATGAAGAAATATGGGACGGAAGACAATAATTTCATGATTGACTGAGTGTAGTTGAATGGGTAATGTCAGTCTGGATGCTTACTTCTGAGTGCTGGGGGACACTTCCATTACATGTGTCCTATTCAAAATCTTGAGAGAGGGAGTGTAGAGGAAGGAATAGCAAGGACAAAAAATGGTTCATGGGTTTCAGAGGGGAAAAGAGATGAAATCTATTTGGTAAAAAGCAAAGGCATTGTGAATTAGAACATTGAGATGGTTTTTCCAGGATAAGTAGTGTTTGCTAAGTATGGAGAAATGGGAAATCATTCTAGTTGAAGAAATAATAAGCAAATGATCACAACTGGAAAAGGTGTGAGTTATATCTGGGGAATTATAAGTGGGCCAAGTTGACTGGAGCAAAGATCTGTACAGGGCAACCTGTTGCCAATATATAACGGCCATTTGATAAATGTTGATCCAAATATTGGAAGATAAAAGCAGTGAGGTAGAGAGACACATACTAACACCTTCAGTGTTAGTTAGGAGTCTTTTAAGTTGAAGATAATTTTTGCTAAAACAAAAAGGGAGGATTTCTTTAAGAATTCAGGGAAGTCTCATAGATTCCAAGTGGGAATACAGTGAGGCCTCTGAAGTGGGCCATAGCTAGGGACTTAGAAGGTATCCAGGCTTCCTTTCTCACTGTCACCACTCTCTTTTTTGTTCTTTGGCATTCTCTCCCTTATGCTCTTTCTATAGTAACGCTTTCTCTGCTTCTCAGCCCATGTGGTAGAATATGATTGATTTTATAACTCCTACCACTCTAATTTCCTTTCTAGTAATTGTGGGCTAATTAATTTGTACCAACCTCCTTGAGGAAAAATGATAAAAATATTGGATAAGATTTTACCAAATCTTCGTAAAAGCATCAAAGTACTGATATGATAACAAGCAACTAATAGGTCAGAATCTAAAGGAAAGATGGAATCTGAGAGCATTAACCTTTGTAGCTCTTAAGACATTTGCTAATTACTGCAAAATTGGGCTATAGTTTTGGCAGCATCTTTGGGTGGGAGAAAAAAGAGGGACAGATGTCAAGATCCAGCTCCCACCAAAAGTGGAAATTCTAGTAAGGCACTCTGCCAAATATTAAGTTGGAACCCCAAAGAGATATTCTCACAAGATAAGGATGAACAAGAAGTTAACCTTCCACTTAATTGTTGTGGAGCTCAGCAGAAATCATCTAAGCTTAGCAAGAGAAAACAGAAAGGATGAGCTGTCAGCTTTTCCTCGTCTTTTCCTGGTGATCACAGGTCTGATTTGCAGCTTGGGCTTACATCATCTTGGAGGCCCAGGGAATGCCTGGCCATGAACTTTTTTCAGGGTCCTCTTGGGCTGATAATGGTCCAGGTACATGTGAGAAACAAAAGCCATATATATATATATTTTCCAGGAAGACAGCTTCAACTTGACCTCAAAAATTCACTGCGTATAATTTTGCAAAGATATTGAGCAGTACACATTCAAAGATGACCAGTTACACATGGAAACAATGTGACATGAGTACGAATCAACTAAAGCAACAGATAGCATAATATAGGATTATCAGTTATAGATATTAAAAATTATAATTACTATGTTTAAAGAGATTTTTTTTAAGTGGCAGGTATCTGTGAGGAATGGGAAATCACAAAATTTGGCTTAGTAGTTTTGAAAAAGAAGCAAATAGAACTTCTAGAATTGAAAATTACAATTTATAATTACAGTTTACTCAGTGGGTAGCTTTAACAGCTGATTAAACACAGCTGTAGAGAAAATTAGTGGATTATGAGTAAGAACATGTAATCCACAATGCAACTTGGAGAGAAAGAAAGACAGAAAATACAGAAGAGAGGTTAAAAGAAATGGAGGACAGGGTGTGAAGGTCTAATATATGTTTAATTCCAGTTTCATGAATGGAGAAAGAAAAAACAGAGAAAAACAACATTTAAAAAGATAATGGCATGAAGCAACCGACAAAGGATTAATCTCCAAAATTTACAAGCAGCTCATGCAGCTCAATAACAAAAAAACAAACAACCCAATCCAAAAATGGGCAGAAGACCTAAATAGACATTTCTCCAAAGAAGATATACAGACTGCCAACAAACACATGAAAGAATGCTCAACATCATTAATCATTAGAGAAATGCAAATCAAAACTACAATGAGATATCATCTCACACTGGTCAGAATGGCCATCATCAAAAAATCTAGAAACAATAAATGCTGGAGAGGGTGTGGAGAAAAGGGAACACTCTTGCACTGCTGGTGGGAATGTGAATTGGTTCAGCCACTATGGAGAACAGTATGGAGGTTCCTTAAAAAACTACAAATAGAACTACCATATGACCCAGCAATCCCACTACTGGGCATATACCCTGAGAAAACCAAAATTCAAAAAGAGTCATGTACCAAAATGTTCATCGCAGCTCTATTTACAATAGCCCGGAGATGGAAACAACCTAAGTGCCCATCATCGGATGAATGGATAAAGAAGATGTGGCACATATATACAATGGAATATTACTCAGCCATAAAAAGAAATGAAATTGAGCTATTTGTAATGAGGTGGATAGACCTAGAGTCTGTCATACAGAGTGAAGTAAGTCAGAAAGAAAAAGACAAATACCGTATGCTAACACATATATATGGAATTTAAGAAAAAAAAATGTCATGAAGAACCTAGGAGTAAGGCAGGAATAAAGACGCAGACCTCCTAGAGAACGGACTTGAGGTTATGGGGAGGGGGAAGGGTGAGCTGTGACAGGGCGAGAGAGAGTCATGGGCATATACACACTAACAAACGTAGTAAGGTAGATAGCTAGTGGGAAGTAGCCGCTTGGCACAGGGATATTGGCTCGGTGCTTTGTGACAGCCTGGAGGGGTGGGATAGGGAGGGTGGGAGGGAGGGAGACGCAAGAGGGAAGACATATGGGAACATATGTTTATGTATGACTGATTCACTTTGTTATAAAGCAGAAACTAACACACCATTGTAAAGCAATTATACCCCAATAAAGATGTTAAAAAAAAATGAATGATACAAATAAAAGTAATCAGAAAGTTAAAAAAAAAAAAAGATAATGGCTAAGAATTTTCCAGAACAGAAGAAAGACAGCAATCTATAGATTTAAGAAATCTATAGTGTTAGTATGTGTCTGTCTACCCAAGAATCTGACACCTTCACCATTCGAAAAGTATGCGATTTCCCTGTGGGATTATTTACTCCTGGTTTACACTTCTAAACTGAAATCTTCCCTGGATGCATCTGATTGGTAGACCTAGGTAACATGCTCACTCTCAGCTGCCAGATGGGAAAGCAACTTTTCTAGGACAGACTTACTTATAATATGTCAAATTACAAAAAGTAAGGAAAATGTTTAAAAAGTGTTGGACACTCACTAGTATGACAAACGCCTGCAACAGGGCTATTCAGAAAGCTCAGGTTCAGGTGTCTGCTGTTTTCTCTTTGTACTCTCTTCTTTCAAGAGCACAGAACTCTTAGAGGCTCTGACTCAATAAATGACTTAGGTAATTTGATCTAACCTTGACCTATCAATCTACAGAACTCTAGATAGAAGAGTATTCTGGCTATCATAAACTCCTATATCCTCCAACCACACTTCAGATTCAGCCTACCTCAATCTGAGCACTTCTCCCCCCTCTGCCTTCTCGAGATACACATCTCTCCCTTAGATTTCTTTTCAGTATCATCTTGTTTCTTCAAGGTATGATATTTGAGAATCCTCTCTGACTCTTTCCTCTTTGTTGTCTCATTTCTTCTTCATTCATATCTAACTTCAGCAGAATCTCCCTTGCCTGTGTCTCTCTCATTCATTCCTTCCTTTCCAGTCCTGTAACTATTATTCTCCCGCATTTTATGTTTGAGGATCTGCACCATGGCCAATCTCTGGTGTCCCCTTGACTCTGGTTTCTCTTCCCTTCAATTCATTCTGCATCTCCAAGCCTTGTGAGTTTCCATGTTCAATTTTTAAAATGGTGTAACTTCATTCCAGAAATTTCACAGTCTCCTGCTAACTTGTCTTACATTCCCTCACTTCCACCAGGGCCGGCATCTGCCCCAGTGTCTGCCTTGGCCCTTTAAATGCCTACGTCTTTCTCTCCAACTTTGCTCATAAATTTTTCTCTACCCGGGATCACACCGCCCCCAAACTTGTATGTCTTAACCTTTCTTCAAAGCACAGCTCGAGTCCCATCCCCTCCTGCAGGCCTGCCTCTGTGATGGCTCACTCTGTAGTTTTGTGAACCTTGACACTGTCCACCGCCCCTCACACCGGGCACAGCTACTTTTTGTTGTTCTCTTTCATGAAAACTAACTTTCTTTTATACCACAAGACTATGCCAGTGACTTCAAAGTAAAGACCATATCTGGATGCCTCGTTCCTAAGTGCAGAGCCTAACACAGAATTGGAGCTCAGTGTTTATTGAATGAAGGGAAGAATTAAACAGAGAATTAACGAATGCCTGCTCTGGCGCTGCTACTCCAGCTGTGAAGAGGTCCCTAGTCTAATGAACTTGAGGCAGGCCGATCGGTGGATGTTCAAATCAAGGAGAAAACCAAGTGCGGATGTCTGGGTTTCATGTGAGATATTTAATTTTCACAATCTGCAGAGGGCAGAGAGGGGGAAAGCTTTCATCGCATCAGACTGTGTTGGGTTGGGCAGATTTCTGCAATTTAAAATAGTGGTAGGTCCTGTCACCGCCCCCCATATTGCTCTGTCCCCAGTAAGAGTCTACAAACTGAGTTCCAGTAGTTGGGAAATAGATCGAAACGACGTTCAGGTTTTGGTCGCCCGCTACCTACAGACACTCTAATAAAGGCCCAGCTGGGAAAGAGAAATAAGCGTTATAGGTGAGGGCCCTATAGCTCAGGGGTTAGAGCACTGGTCTTGTAAACCAGGGGTCGCGAGTTCAAATCTCGCTGGGGCCTCGTGTGTATTTATTATTTTCAAATCTTCCTCACCAGCCACTCACCTCTCTCTCGTTACTTTAACCCCTGCGAAAATTCAGCTCATATCTTCTCGCCAGTGTTCAGATGTGCCAAATAAACACCCGAGCGGAACCGCTTCCTCTCAGTTTCCAGTGCTAATGCGCAAGTGCTGCTTCGCTGCCTAGATTGTGGCGGAGTCCATTACAAACTGCGGGGAGCGCTGCCAGCCTCCGCGGACGACCTGGCTGTGCGGACCTGCAGCAAGAGCCCTGAGGGCGGCCGGAGCCGGAGCGGGGGCCTAAGGGCTGTGGGGAAAGAGTTGGGATCGAGCCCTCAGCACCCGCTCTGGGCAGATTTAGAGCCCAGAGCAAGGTCCCCTCCCCACAGGGGAAGAGCCGGCGTCAGCTGTCCTGATTTGGGGGTCCGACAAGTTTTCATGTTTCAGTGGATTTTCGAACATTTAAGTATCTCAGCGGGAAAATTAGCGTCGGGACTTGGGTCACTAAATTTGTTATTGACTCAAAGAAACTGTGGCTTCCTCTTTGAAAAACCTTAAAATAGTTTCTCCAAGTCAGTTCTCATAGCAGCATTGGGTTTAGCCATATGTATTATATACCCTCCCTCCCCTACTCTGTGGACGTGTAAGCGGAAGAGAGAAGCAGCTCGCATGTGCAAACGCTCCTGGATTTGGAGGCGAGCGCAGGAAGTGTGGAAAAGAAAGGCCCAGGCCAGAGCTCCGAGGCCCGCCCTTCTCTCTGGCTCGCAGTTGCGCGATCAGAATTGTATGTTCCACCACCTCAGCCCTTAGTTCTCCGATGCCCGGGTGTCCTCTCCCACTTTAGACACACATCATGCCAGGGAGGCCCCGGGCAGCGCACTACGTGAAGAGAACAGCCCGGGGGCGAGCAGATCGCCACGGTCCGGGGCGGCCTCGGGATGCACAGGCTCTAGGTGTGCCGGTGAAGAGCCCACTCTCTGGTCCTGCTTGGAAGCCCGTACCTGAAGCAAGAGAATCCAGTTCTAGAGGGGTTGTCTGCAGAACCGCGGATGTAGGACTTTCTCCTAAGCTGGCTGCTAAGTGGTGTCCATGCACCCGCAACTAGTGGGCCATTATGCACGAACCTCTGCTTATCAATGTCCTCAATATAGAATAGTAGGAACGCAGTTTTTGTATTTCCTTCGATAGCTCAGCTGGTAGAGCGGAGGACTGTAGTGTAAAACAATATGGTTATCCTTAGGTCGCTGGTTCAACTCCGGCTCGAAGGAAGTGTTGATGTTTTGGGGGTTGCAACCACCCATCGAGCGAGACGTTGCTCTCCTGTTTCTTACGTCGTTTTCCCTCTTCTGGGGTCATTTTCTCCAGACCTTACCCCGTTCCAAAGATAAACTCAGCATGGTTGTATGAACTTCGAGAATCACCTCTTGAAAAGTTGGACTTGTTGGGCACGGTTCTCAGTTAAAAAGGGAGTGTGCACTAACTCTTCCAACCAACTAAGGAAGTTCTGGGTTGGATGTTCTAGCTGAACTTAGGTTGCTGCCTGAGGTCCAAAGTTTGGAGATCCAAGACCACTCGCTGGTACAGAATATATATCCGGCGGCCCTTGGGACTCTTAATTTTGGGACTCTTAATTTGCGGGACAAACCCCTGAGACCTTTATTCACTCTATACACATACGTTCATTCAGGGGGAGGCCCTTTTAATTTATTCAGCTGTTTATAGATTTTTATAGTTCCACAAAAATCATTTTGAGCTGGAGCCGGAAGGAGGAACAGGATTTGACGTGAATTGGGATGAGACTGGGAGAGAGAATTCCAGACTGAGGAAACAATTTAAGCAGAGGTAGAGAGATGGAACATTTGATTCTCATTCTGGGAAACTGCAGGGGTCTGGACTTTACGAACACGCCCCAGACTGGTTCACCTCCAACAGATCAAAATACTGGCTCTCCGTATGTTGATGCCCATCAGTCCTGCCCCTAGGATTTTATACTCGCGCGAAGCAGTAGCAGCCCGGCAGATACACATCCTGTGCGTCTGTCCTGGGGCTCAGGACCCTACAATGTTGCAATCGACCCCAGCTCGGGCCCTCAGGCTCCAACTCGGTTCTCTCCAGGCTCCCTCCAGGCTCCCCCCACGCTGGAGCTCAAGGCTAGACTCCTCCCGGCGGGGCTTGCGGGAGCACCGACAGGTGGCCTGACGTCTGAAGAGCTGCCTCTTCTCACCCCATCCGGCGTCTGGAGGCGTCCAGGACAAGGATCGAGGAGAATTAGCGAGGCTAGAGTCAGACGTGAGACTTCTTCAAGACGGAAGAGCTAAGCAAAGCGAAAGGTAAATGTCACAAACATAAGGTAAAACTCCAGAGCGGCCTGGCAGCCAATTGCTGACGGAGAAGTAAGGTTCAGAGGAAAAGTATACAAACCCTCGTCAGCGTGGCTCGTTGGTCTAGGGGTATGATTCTCGCTTTGGGTGCGAGAGGTCCCGGGTTCAAATCCCGGACGAGCCCCAGTGGTTGAAACTTTTCCTTCCCCCTTCCAACCGCTGAAAAAAGCTCAGTTCTATACAAACTTTCCAGCGTTCCGAACTGTTCTACAAAAGAGAACTGTTCTACAAAAAGATTATCTGTGCGGGGCCAAACTGCCTGGCTTCCTGGACTCTCGCCAGCGGACGCCTGGGAGGGGTAACCTCGCTCCCGGGAGCAGGGAGCAGGGGCCAGGGTCCCGCCGTCTGCAGACCCCACAGGCCGTGTCCTCACGGCCCCTGAGCGTCGGCCTCGGATCTCCAGGCTCGCTCCCGGCCCAGGTGGGGACCCACCCCCTCCGCCTGGGGCGGGGGCTGCTCTGATGCCTGCGTCGGAGGCGGGTCCTGGAGGAAGGCGCCTTCTCGGAGAAACCGGGCGGGGCCTCAACTACAAAAAGGCTCGCACCCCGACGCTCCTCTCCTCTTTGCGTTTCTACCGGCTCCCCATCGTCCTCACAGGGAGGAAGAAGCGGGTGAGAAGCAAACACGTCTCTTTCCACCGTTTTGCCTGTTTCTGCAGACTTGTTCTGAGGCCGAGGTGGGTTCACACTTCTCCAGCTCCTTTTCCTCCATCTCCCCACCCCCCCGCCTCCTTTTTAGTAGTTTCATCAGGGGCGTTTGAGTCGGGGGAGTCGCCTCTTAGCAGAGGCAGTGTGGGGCTCGGTGGGGAGGCGTTTGCGGCACCGGACTGGAGGAGCTGAGGAATAGGAAGGAAGGTAAAAGTCCAGTTCTTGTAGAGTCAGAGATTCCCCATTCCGACTCCGATGCTTATTTTCCGCAGCTGAGTGGAGATGCCAGCGTGAAATGCCTGTTGCCTCGAACGTAGGCTCTAAGTGGGACCCCAGAATTGGTGAACCGAAGGAAATCCGGGGAGGCCTACACTTCCTCAAAATTAAGGATTCTTTTTCTTGGTACCCAGGATGATCGCCAGATTTATGAAACAGGTCTTGTCCCGTTTTTGCGACCGCAACTGACACGTGGGAGCTCGTGTTTTCGTTTTCTGTTTACTCCTCTATCTCCTCACCCTTAACCCACCTTCAGCCAGTGAGACGTTCTTTGAGACATTGCCACCAACCTCTTCTCTAAGCTTTCTTAGTGGAACCTTGGGATCCTCAGCTTTCTTATTCTGTGACAGCACATCAAATGGTAACAGCACAGGGCTTATTTAGGCAGGATGGTAAAAACAGTTTCAGCAGCATTCTGGGGCCTGGGGAAATCTCAAGTGAGCTGTAGGGGAGCAGAATTTGCCACCCCAAACTATCTCTGTAGCATATTATTTTAACCTGGTTATTTCCTAAGAAACAGCAGACAAGGGGAAAATCCAGAAAGCCTAGTAGGAGTTAACTTTTTGTAGTAAGAAACATTTACATTTATAAGGGAAATCTCCATTTGTAAGAGTGTCTCCCTCGCTGTACCTGGAAGAGGATGACCAAATATCTACAAACTCTTGCCTGCTGGAGAAGGCAAAGACTTCAGTTTGCATCACAACCCTACTTTTTACTGCGCTTTTCCTGGTACCCTAACATAACTGACTCTCCCCACCCTCAACATCCTTTTTTGCCTTGAGGGGAGGATGGTATTTAAAGAGAGGCTTCTGCCATTTTGGCGAGTTACTCAGTTTTCCTGGGTCTCTCTAATGTGTCCATGATTTTAAACATCTGTTTGATTTTCTCCTGTCAATCTGTCTCATGTCAATTTGATTCTTAAACCAGCCAGAAGAACCTGGAGGGGTGGAAGAAAATGTCCTCTTCCCCAACAGAGCCAAGACCTTTCCTGTGTCATTGGGAACCTCACAATCAAGTCATAAATGTAATCACTAGAAACCCAAGTGACATAATTATCTGAATAGCACATGGCTAACTTCCCAGAAGCAGCCAGAGGTATTCAAAGAGCCACTGAACTACACAGCTACTAACTAGTTAGTGCAGAAGGATAAGACATTTTATATTTCAAGCAACTTTTTAACAGATAATGGGGGTGTTAAAATATTTTGGGAATATATGGAAATATCCAAAGTAGTTTTCTCTTAAACAGCAACTTTTCATTGGCACCTTTAAAATGATCTTTGATTTCCTAGAAATTACTAGTGTGGACTGTGAATGCTGTGTGGTGCAGTGGGAAGCTTCTAGTCCCTGGAACTGCAAATATTCACTGGGCGATACATGTTCTTTTTTCGTTCCTGGTTCCTCATCTGTAAAATGAGGGGTTGATAGATAGTCTCTGAGGTCCCTCTTCTAATTCCGACTGTAGGATGTTGGTAACATGACTCTTATAGGAAAGAAGGTGCTCCAGTAATATGGAGAAAAACTATAGTTTGGCAGAGAGGCTGGGGAAAATCATTCTAGGAAAAGAGGAATGGCTCTGGCTTTGTTGAAAGAGCAGATGTGAGCTTATAAGCAGTCAAAACTAAGGGGTTTGCCGAGTTACTGTTGTAAGCATTTGCCAGTGTGATTCATAAATTAAAGTAGTTGGCCAAGAAAGTGGACCACAGCAGGCCAGTGAAATCTCTCTTTAGTTTTTATTTAATCTTTTTTTGCGCAAAGAACAATCTCTGTAAACAGCTATTCTCCAAACACATTGAAATACCTGGGAAAGAGCGAATGGGCACAGAACAAGGGTTTGTTGAAAATGGAATGTTTAATGTTTGTCTTTGTTTGGAAATAGAGGTGGGTCAGCTGGACTTTGTCCCCATCCTCCCTCAATCAATAGTGTCCCCTAATTCCTGGAGGTAGAGGTGTGACCCTTATTTCCATGTGGACTTCATCCTCTTTTAACCATTACTTCTGTTACTAAATAAGTTTCATGCTTTAGATTACTTATAATACCTAATACAATGTAAGTGCTATGTAACTAGTTGCTGGGGCACAGCAACTTAAAAATTTTGCTTTTTGGAAGTTTCTAGAATTTATTTTCAAATATTTTCGATCCATAGTTGGTTGAATCCGAGGATGGGGAACCTGTGGATGTGGAGCGTTGACTGTAGTTCCTCATTATAAGTATTTTGAGTAAACACTTAGATGCATTTTAATGAAATAGTAAAACTTTCTTTTTTAATTTTTTCCAAAATCTTATATTCTGTTTCATCATAACCTCATTGGGCCAAGGTGAAAAGAAAAACAATTAGAATGAAAGCAATCATTCCCCATTCACCAGCTGACTTTTGGCATTGTCAGCTCTATGGACAGGTTGTGAAAAGGTTGTCGAGTGAAACCCCAGAGGAAGAGAAAGGACTCGGCTGTGTTCAGAGGCTGAAGGCTGCCCCCCAGCACTACTGCATAACTCTAAAATCAGAGGCTGATCTGTTTGTGTGAGTTGGTGCTTGCACTGGTGTTTCAGGCCATGGGACTGTATGTGCTCGATTTTGGAGTGGAGTATCTAATCTCTGCTTTCAGGCGATTTATCAGACTAGGGTGGGGTTGTGTTGATCAAGTCATCTTGATCCCCACAGACTGTGGGAGTTGGCTGCTGCTTCCTGGTCCAGGACTGCTGAGGCAATCAGGGTGTCAGCAATGGGTCTGGCAGCCTTCTCCGCAACAAGTGACTGGTTTGATAAGTCTTTTTTTTTTTTTTGGCCGCATGAAGCATCACGTAAGATCTTATTTCCCAACCAGGGATGGAACCCTTGCCCCCCGCATTGGAAAGAGGAGTCTTAACCACTGGACTGCCAGGGAAGTCCTGATAACTTTTTTTTTAATCATGTTACTTGTATTAATAAATCTGAACTCACTACTAAAAGAAAAAGATCATCAGATTGAATCACAAAGCAAAACCCAGCTGTGTGGTTTGTAATGGCTGATAACTTTTTAAAACTCAATTCTTCAGTTTGTGTTTAAAAAGTGATGTGTGATTAATTTACGGTAGGTGCCCCTCTCAAACGGTGTGTTTGCCCATAAAAGGCAAGTGAGTGTTTGGGCACGTCGTTAGAGGCAGTAGAGCCCCACATCCCGCTGCTGCTCTTTGCTCTGTTAAAACCCAAAATTCAACGGAGTAAATTTGAAGACCTCATTGACTTTGTTGAACGATTCACGAATGGGGCAGCATCTCATCTAGTAGATAAGAGGTGCTCCGAGGAGCTCTTCAATGGAAGGCTTTTATAGTCAGAAGCTGGATGAGGCAAGAAAGTTATTAGCAAAAGAAAAAGAAAGGGTTGTTTCAGTCAAGGGCCCCTGCTGTTTGATTTCAGATTTTCCTCATGAGAAAAACTGGCTTACATAATACCCACCTCACACAGTCTCGGTGATGGTTAAATGTAGTCATGTATATGAGCGCTTCATAGAGTGAAAGGTAACACTGATTATTATAATTATTATGATGATTTCAAGTGCATTTGTTTTACTGGTAGGCAGCCTGTCTTCAGTTGACACCTAAAATACAGGGAGACTGAAAACTGGGAGGTGGGTGGATGACAATAGAAGGCTGAGGATTTTTAAGAAGATAACAGTGTCCTAGATCCAACATCAGTGAAGGTGGGTGCTGAGGGTTTGTGAAATAGTTGGCCTCCTGCTGCTACCTGATATTTGAAACCATAGGATCTATAAGCGATCCTGGTGACCTTCAGTCCACTTTCTATGCAGGCAACGAATCCACTTTGTGAGTGGATGCAATGTCAGTGTTGCACTGATGGTGGAGATAATCAAGTTTACAACTGTGTTACAAGGAACAGAAGATTGAGTGCGCAGTTAGTCATTTGTGGACGGGTAAAGAAGAAAGGAAAGAGAAGCCCAGGACATATGGTAAGGATATTTCCGAGGGTTAGTAAGGGTTAGTAGCTGGGAGGTTGAGGTCAAAGGCAGGGTGCTAACAGCTGTCACATAACCTTCTCTGGAAGTGCTTTCCTGGTTCTGTGAAACCTACTTAGCACCCTTTCATGAAACCAAATTATGTGGGTAAACAGAAAGCACAGCGGAGCAGCATCCTGCCCAGAGACCCCAGCTCACTCTGCAGGCTTCTTCTGAGGCAGTTCTTAGAGCTGGCCCAAGAAACGACATCTTCTGGATCCAGAT